AATTGAGTTAGGTTTTGCACCGCTTTAAGCAATACTCCAGCAATATCACGACGGGGTGACTAGAAATTGGCTTCACACATTGTGCCAATGCGGGGAATCAAACCCGTATCTTCGGCGTGACAAGCGAACGCCTAAACTACTAGGCTACCCCAACGACCCTGTACACACAGACTACTAAAAAAGCTGCCACTTGACACCTGTATATGACCGAATATTTACAAAGTTTATCAAGACGCCACCGAAGCATTGCGAATTTTAGTTTGATGTGGCGTCCTTTTGTCCGGCAGTTTATTATGAGTACAAACCATTGAAACTCTAAAATGAAAGAAAAATGCTGATTGATAAAATTGATGTCGATGAACGATCATGTCAATTCCCAAACTAAAGATTTTACCATTTCCTATAACAGCTGACAGTCCTGACAGAATTGTCTTACATTTATCCCTTATACAGAAGTTTAATCTATTATTTATAATCATGATGGGTTTTGCATCAGAGGTGTGAACATTGATGCTCATCAAACCAATACTAAGGTACAATTTAAAAGGTTGGCCATTCTTCATACTCTGAAACTACAGTCCAATCCCGATGAGTCGAATGCCGGTGTCTCGAATATTATGCATAACTCGAAGTACCTGTCGGTCCCGACCATTCCCTGTTATAGTTGTCATCATTTGAATACCGGTTACACGAATTCGTCTCATAAATACACACGATGACTCGAGAAGGAAATTTGGTCCCATGAGATTCAAACAGCAGCTATCTTGTATACATAAGCCGAAGTCAGTCAATGAGAAGTTGATGGTGTAGCAAACTGATCCAATTAACAAACCAGCGCGACTCGCGACTTTCCGCCATTGACAGGTGAGTTCAAAAGTCAGATTAGTGATTTTACTGTCTGTGCTAATCAGACTGGAACTAATAAGGTGCCCCTGTTAGTGATATGGAAATCATTAGATAAACAAATGCTCAGTCGGAGGAATTAGGACTGGATCATCTTTTTTTCTACCCTCATAGACATACCTATGTCTCGAACACATCGATAAGTCGAATTTATTACTTGGTCCCGAGCGATTCGACTCATCGGGATTTGACTCTACTTCTCCATCGAGTCAGCTTTAATGTATCAATACAAACGAAACTGCTTCTTGACAAGGAAAGAGTGTACTCCAAACCGCGGGCACCTGTTCAACTGTACTTAATCTGTGAACACTTTCGTCAATTTAACGTTGATCCAATTTGTAAAGGCCGGTTTTAAAAAGCATTGTGTCTTTACTATTTTTTATCAACGACACCTTTGAGTATTTGACATTTGCAATCAGTATGTACATGGTGTGTGTAGATGTTGTAAGGCGGCATTAGGCATTCAGCACTACTCTACCTTCACACAGGCTCCTGTACATACATCATGGCCTGACAAACTAGTGGTTGATAACATGAGCACCGCTTCACACCCATTGAGGTTTACTCGACTTGAACTGACCATGTTCCATCACATTTTGTTTGTCCTCGGTTCTTGGGGAAATCAAACTTACAATTGTAACTCACTCTTGAGGAAATCAGGGCCATTCGCGACTTCTCGTGTCATTCCGAGGTAAACCGAATGACAACTCGTGCCTTGTGAACTGGGTTCATATCAACTGAACGCAAACGCAAAAGCGAAAGAAATCGTCAGCTTCACGTACCACCTGTGCCATTGTTTACCGGATTGTTTTCATGGATTATATATTGTTATTTTGGATATATAACGAAATAAGGACGATATTTGTTTATCAAGAAGCCTATATCACCTTACGCAGTTTCCATTTCATTGTCGTATTTGCTAGTACAACATCGGTCGGAGTGGCAATGGGTCGTCCCACAGGTTAATTACGAAACAGCCGAGTGGTGCTAAATGTCAGGAATCAGGTCTGAATGCACGCACCTGTCAGGCTCATGTATACTGTAGTTATCTGTAAATAATTAGAGAATGTGTGCATGTTACTTGCTGTGACAATCAGAATTTATCTTAGCAACACATCCTTGTGAAAGGCGGTTAACGGGATCGGCAGGTCAGACTCAATCGTGTCCCAATTTCGTTGATAGAAGTTCATGGTGTCTAATCACTGTATTGTTTGGTCCAGGCTGGATTATTTACAGATGGCCGTGATATCTCTGGAAAACTGTTGAGTGCGGCGTTAAACACCAAACAAAAAAATAAAAAAATGTTCTGTTTCAAACTGGTGTTCATTTGATTTATGGAGCAGAAAACAACTGCGCAAAGACAATGTCTTAAACATATGTGTGCATGTGTTGGAATAGGATGCGTGTACATACGCGTGTAAACGTTTATGAATGTATGCACATGCTGGTATAGTATGTATGTGGTATGCATGTATGTATTTACGCTATGTGTATATGATAAGTGTAAATGTATGTTTGCATGTTGTGTGTACATATGCACGTGCATGGGTATATGAGGTGTGTGTGTATGAAAATATGAATGTAAAAGAAAATATTAATAATATTAAATAGCACAGACCTGCTATACAATGAATCATTTACTTCCACATACTGATATGTTGTAAAGCAGTTCGAATTGATGAAGTACTTCACAGGGATTCTAAAACGCTGTATTTCATCCAAATGATTGTGGCACCATTGTTTCACCTGCGCCATATTAAGAGTAAGGGCAGACAGAACGAGGCACCCTCTCATTCGAGCTCTGTTTAAATGGAATTTCACGTTTACTTTAATTTCGTTATCCCGTATTTTAAACCTTCACGCCAAAATGTCAGACATTGTTCGGGTGCACGAAACCAGAAGGCTATTGACACTTGTAACATTTTTACAGGTGCTCTTTAGAAATCCAGCACATAAATTGTTCACGAAAATTGACTTTGATAGCCGTATAATCGCCATTACCTGAGCAGGTAAACAGGCCATTGAAAAGATATAATAAAGAATAATCTTTATGATGCGGGCATCGGCTTAATATCTGTGACAATTATGAACGAGACACAGCTGAGATCAATACGCTTTTAAGGCACAGTTAGAGAATCTAAAATGAAATCTGTGAAGTTCTTACCTTATTAAACAACGCTGGCCAGGATGTTGACGGTAACAACAGCCACACTACCTACACCACTACAGTGGCATACATGCGGGCAGGGAAATATGTTGTAATGTCCAACCAAGTGCTTTGAATTAAATTTCTTTTCATGGTTTTGACAACACACAGCATTCTTCAGAAATTACACACGCGTTTGAATATAATGATTTATTTTAAAAATCAGAAAGGTCTGTAATATTGAAACAGTTATATTTCTACCCGTGATTTATATTGTTGGAGGCCGCGGGAACCCATTCACAGATTGTGCATTGGTGGGTCTTATCCGATATAAATGCTTTGGTTTTGATTGTAAGACCGTGTGCATACAGGTTGTGCCTGTTAAGTTTTAATCTGAAAGGTAAACATGTCAAAAAGGTGCCCCCCACCCATATATTCCCGTATGCCAGGTCGCCCCGACTGTCGAGCAGTACGGTGGAGGATATCAGCGTGCCAGTTCATTGTTGGGATTCTGTAAAGCTGAACAAGATTAAGTTTTGTTCAACTCTTCAGTTACGGCGGAGATATGCCCACATCTTATGAAGCAGGGCCTATATTTTCGAAGCTCTCTTAGCGCTAAGATAGTCGTAAGTTAATGTTAATGTATGGCACTTACGACTATCTTATCGCTAAGAGAGCTTAGAAAATCTAGGCCCAGGACACTTACACATGAAGGTTGGCAACACAGAAAGACATATGTACTATGTTCCGTAGATAAACAATGACTTTACTGAACAATATTGACTATGTTCCGTAGATAAACAATGACTTTACTGACCAAGCTTTACTTATTTACTTGTAATGCCAAACAAACAAAACACCTGTATTTTCTTGAATTAATTTCGCACAATTCCGCTAAAGGACGAGTGAGTGAGTATGGTTTTACTCCGCTTTTAGCAATGTGTCATCAATATCACGGCTGGGGACACTAGAAATGGGCTTCACATATTGTACCCATGTGGGGAATCGAACCCGGGTCTTCGGCGTGACTTCCGCTAAAGGAATTCATCAAGAGGGTATTCAGTCAGATATACTGGCCAAGTCATCTGTTACTTCCTTTGGTAAAATATGACATGAAGAATAAAGTTGTGTGTCATTTTTGACAACGTGAACCTAAATATGACCAAGTAGCACATGGCCTACAATGACCATCGGGACCAACCAACACTGACCTACCCCTCCCATTCTGCCACACCCTGGTCGACCTTCTCCGACCCTCTTGTGTCCATCCTCACGTCCACCCAGAGCCCGTTGATACACATGAACATCCGGGTTAGACTTGATCTTCAGTAACCCATGCTTGTCGTAAGAGGCGACTAACGGGATCGGGTGGTCAGGTTCGCTGACTTGGTTGACACGTCATCGGTTCCCATTTGCACAGACCGATGCTCATACTGTTGATCACTGACTCGAAGATTTACAGACAGCCGCCATGTAGCTGGAATATTGCTGAGTGCGGTGTTAAACAACAAACCAACCAACCAACCTTGCACTTGGCACCTCCGAGTGTGGCTGCATGTTCTGCGTATCTATTTCACAGAGCAAACTGTATGAAAGACCAAGCTGGAATATTGCTGACTCACTCACTTACTGAAAGACCATGCCACCAGATTAACACGGACGTCCTCTTCTGACACATACTGCCTTCAAGTAGACCAGTCCTTGTTTTGTTTTTTCTCCTTAACGCTGAGTGTCAGAGGGGGTAACACCAAGCATCACCGTTAATGGTCTTTGGTATGACGCAACTCTCCGCGCCCAGAGCAGATACTCTATCCCTTAGACCAGGGAGGTAGTGGGTGCAGACGTTGACGTGATGGTGGTGGTAACGTGTAAGTACACATTAATGTGTTTAATCCAATTCCCAAGTAATATATATCTCATATGAAAACAAATGGCAGAACGACATTTATTATTACCTTACATTATGCACACAAATAATCCTTTAAGAAAAGGGCAATTTAAGTCTGTCTACTTAAAATAAGATTAATGAGAATATTTCACGAAAAAAACAACTCAACTGTTACACCACGCAAATACTGTCAATCTCCAGTCTACTTGAGAAAACAGAAAAGAAGAAATTTTGTTATCGTGTGCCGCAAGCGTTGGACTGACTGACTGGGTTTAGTTTTACGCCGCTTTTAGCAATATTCCAGCAATATCACGGCGGGGGACACCAGAAATAGGCTTAACACATTGTGCCCATGTGGGGAATCGAACCCGGGTCTTCGGCGTGACGAGCCAACGCTTTAACAACTAGGCTACCCCACCGCCCTCGCAAGTGTTGGAAACGTCAACGGTTCTGAAGTGTTAAACGTCTCCGAAATCATCAGAAACATTTCAGAACAGTTATAGTGAGTGAGTGAGTGAGTTGGGTTTTAACGACGCTTTTAGCAATATTCCAGCAATATCGCGGCGGGGGACACCAGAAATTGGCTTCACATATTGTACCCATGTGGTGAATCGAACCAGGGTCTTCAGCGTGACGAGCGAACGCTTTAACCACTAGGCTACCCCACCGCCCCAGAACAGTTATAAGACTAGTGTTTATATCATATATACTAGTTCATGTGACTGATTTATATGTAGATATAGCCCTCAAAGGCGAGACTGGTGGACTTCGTGTTAGCCAGTAGCTGAACATCCCAGAGGCCGCCAGGAAATAGAACTGGAAAGACAGAAAATAGGTGTTATCAAAAATGGGAATGAACGACCTGATAATAGTTTCCAAACCATAACCTGATAAAAACTTCGGCCTCACTTACGTGTGTCGCCTTCCATGACAGTCACGTGAACGTCCCGACATGCATTTCGACACTCACGAGGCGGTGAAAATTTGACAGTTCGCTGCCCTTGCCCCTGCACGTAGCAGGCGTAAGCGAAGTCTGAGAAACCTTCATTCTGATAAACAAACAAGTTTCGACATTTAAACCATCTTGATACCAGGTAACAATCTGTATGAGGACAATCAAGTTAAATAACATCAATAAAGGTTAAAGTGTGGGTCGGTACTATCAGCTTAACACCCGTGAAGATCCGGGTTAGAATTGATCCAGTAACCCATGCTTGTTGTAAGAGGCAACTAACGGGATCAGGTGGGCAGGCTCGCTGACTTGGTTGACACATGTCATCGTATCCCAGTTGTGTAGATTGATGCTCATGCTGTTGATCATTGGATTATCGGTCCAGACTCGATTATTTACAGACCGCCGCCATATAGCTGGAATATTGCTGATTACGGCGTTAAATACGAAACAAACAATATGTATATATATATAAGCCTTAGGTGATTTATGGTTTAGATATTAACCACTACGATGAAACTGAACAGCGCGAGTTGTAGTGCCTAGATAACTTGGCTGTCCTTATATTGAAATCAGTTTCTAACCAAACATTCACTCTAGAGGAATCAGAAATGCACATGGAATTTTCAAAAGAAACCGCCACTGACACTGTAATAATGGTGTTCGGTTGATACTAAAAGATATGTACTTCGTCATTCTTGATGGGCAAAACTACTTCTACAATGACAAACACTCGCTACCATTTTCCTACTACCGGTCCCAGGACCATCCACGAATATAAACTTCTTTGGCGCCACTTCGGATTCCGGGGGTAACAGGTTAGGTCTGGGAAACATCTTCCTCATCAGCATAGCCACCGCCAAATTCATCTTACTATTCCTGAACATGAGATACAGAAAATATTGGAAACATTCAAGTGATATCAGATTTACGTCATTCACAGACATGTAGCTGACTTCTTTGAGTGGAATTTCTGAAAGTGGCAAGTACAATACATAGAACAAACTTTATGGATAACAACTTCTTTTATTTCGTGAGTGCGACGTTTCGATACAGATTCTTGTACCGTTAGCAAGCAGGAAAGACAACGGTACCAGAATCTGTATCGAAATAAAAGAACTTGTTATCCATAAAGTTTGTTCTATATATTGACATGTAACTGGTCTAAATAAAAAAGAAAGAGTCACGATATGTGTGGTTATAAACAGTCTTAGATCGGCCTAAAATAAAGGCTTGTATTTATAAAACAGTCTTAGATTGGCCTAAAATAAAGGCTTGTATTTATAAAACAGTCTTAGATCGGCCTAAAATACAGGCTTGTATTTATAAACAGTCTTAGATCGGCCTAAAATAAAGGCTTGTATTTATAAAACAGTCTTAGATCGGCCTAAAATACAGGCTTGTATTTATAAACAGTTTCTGGTTGGCATTAAACAGAGGCATTGCACTTTCTTTCAGTGAATGTACACAACCGGGAGATTCTGGGACTTTCTCCAGAAGTCTATGACAGTTTTTTTTTGTAATGGTGGACTCAACCAATTGGGAAATAGGTATCATGGCTAAAGGGGTGTCATCGTACCCTGAAGGCGTGGCGCTTCGCCCATATTATCAACCACTGGATTGTCTTGTCTAGACTCGCTAGTTTAATGGTCACCGTTATATTAGATGGAATATTCCTGTTGTTGGCACAGTGGTATCTAACGTTTTGTTTTACGATCGTTATAGTGAGATTATAGCACAGAGGCAATATATGTCCTTCAGTTTGCTTGTTCAGCGATCATTGGTTTTCAAGATAGCGTCGCAAAATGCCTTTCCAGGCTTTTCAGGGACAACTATTGAATACATATTGTGCTATTGTGGGGAATAATTACTCAATTTATTTCGGAAGGGACATGGGGGAAAAGTGCCAAATACGTGCTAACTATAATCGTATGGTCCTTTCACAGGTCTGTCTGTCCTCGACCCCCCTGCACAAAGCAGTTTCAGCGACAAAGTGATCGACAAAGTGATCGTAGCTCTCATACGGTAGTCGTAACGCTGAGGTCGCTCTGTGCAACGGGGCCAAGCCAGTTAACAGATCGATAATACTTATATTTAATTTCATGTTAAAATACTTGGCCTCACTTGGATCGTACCAGGTACATGATACTTTCTCCGACTGCAACTTTGAAAGAAAACTGTGGGTGGAGAAGTCTTTGATAGGGATAGCGCCGGTAGGGAAACAGTCTAGCGTGACGTTGGCCAGAACGTCTTCATGCTCTTTAACTAACGCCACCATGTCGGAAAGATTCACGCTGTTGGCTGAGTGCTGAAAATGTAGAAAATATGCCTCGTTGTTGCAAAGTCACACAAGGAACATAGGGCATTGTTTGGTCTGTAACTCGATTCGCTGTGCAGTGTTGCAGCCCTTAGTTCACCCAGTATCTGCTGATTGGGAGGTAGAATCCCATTTCGCCCTTATTGTGAACCCTGTTTGCCAGCACTATACCGCTGGGCGTCATCAACACAGAAATACAGCTTGCTCTTAGCAAATCCACTCACTCATACAACAAGGTACTCTGTTATTGAAATAGGTTAAGATTAACTTCAAGTTAAATGAAGGTACCAGAGTGCCAATGTCCTATTACTTGTCTAAGAATTTACCCCAAGCTGAAAATGATGGAAACAGCGCCGTATGCAAATAATCGATGTCAATGTCAGATGTTAGATCGTGTTTGACGTAGTATCCAACGTAGCTCCCTGGTGTAGTGGTTAGAGCGTCCGCCCGGAGAGCGGAAGGTCGCGGGTTCGACCCCCGACCGCGTCATACCAAAAGACGTTAAAATATGGTACTTGTCGGTCCATGCCTGGCGCTCGGCATTAATGGGTACAACAAGGACTGGTCGGCTCGGAGTCAGTATACTGTGTCTGAGTGGGGTATTTTCATGCTTAACTGCGGCATGGTATCTCAGTGGGCTAGCACTATAAGAACAGCTTACGTCTGGGCTAGTACAAGCAGCCACACATACACATACACACGCATGTACGTCGTCATATGAGCGAAATATTCACCTCAAGCTACAGCGACGATAAACCCATATTTCACCTCACACTTTCTTTGTTTAGAATGAGCACCTCATCCTCATAGAGCGTCCGCCCGGAGGCAGCATGAATTACATAATGTGAACTTTATTCTATGATGCAAATTACCTTATGCAGCAAAATGTATCTCGAAAGATATCTCCTGGATTTCTTCAACATCGTTCTCAAAATGATTCGATATCTCCTGTCTTCAAATTCTCTGACGCTGTCTCAAATTCTTGGGAACCCTCGTCACCGCCATCGTTCACGTCGAGACCCAGGACCCTGTCGGTATGGGCATGCTGAGCCACACCTAGCAACACTTTGGCTTGTGTGACGTCACTACAGAGTTCGCAGTCGACGTGGTCGTAGTAGAGGGGGTTAGGTACAGCACACACGGCCGGGATATATTCTGAAACCAGGGAGGTGATTCCTGTAGATTGGTTGTCAGATATAATTTAAAATCACGCAAATGTTTCCTCGTGGATCTCTCTAATAGTGTTTAATATTTTTGATACTTAAAGGTCACATGCAACCAAAAAAATCAAACATAATTAAAACACAATTATCACTTATTCATGACATATAATATACATTGCTGGTTATGAAAATACATATAAACAAAATTATAAGCGTACAATCGCAAATCAAAAGTGCAATATTGTGTACTTCGGTTTACTTCCCAAGAAACGGGGGCGGTGGGGTAGCCTAATGGTTAAAGTGTTGGCTCGTCACGCCGAAGACCCGGGTTCGAATCCCCACATGGGCACAATGTGTAAAGCCCATTTCTGGTGTCCCCCGCCGTGATGTTGCTGGAATATTGCTAAAAGCGGCGTAAAACCAAACTCAGTCAGTCAGTCAGTCAGTCAGTCCCAAGAAACGAAGCAGCCGGGATACCGAACCCAGTCAGAGCGGGTGGGTGTGCACTCAAGTGTAACGGATGGTTCATTTGCAGATGCTCATTGTGTGTATATATAGAGATGTTGGGTTTTGTAAATACATGCTCATTTTTTGTGTATAACATTTTGCAATCAACAGACATCATAACATGTCATGTGTTCAAGTATCACACCTGCCTGTCTGTGTAATTACATAATGTGACAGAGACCGAACTCGGGCCATAAATCAATGCATTTTGTTTATGGTGTATAGCCTGATTGGTGTTAAGTTCAAATTGCATGTGGTCAGTGATAGCAGCTGTGTATTGAATATTGTCATTAGCAGACAGGCAGGCAGACACACAGGTGTCAATAAAACAAGACATTGAGTTTTGTCTGTGACAACGACATATCTATATCACAGTTAGAAATTCTGTCAACGTTAAATAATGACATTGCTTTTAAGTATCGAACTGAGAAAGTGACTCGGTAAGAAGAACGTGTGGTGAAATAGACAAATGAAATTATATAAACAGTTAATTTACTGTCATAACATATAAAAAAGCTCGCGCCTGTGAGATATCAACAAAACATTAGAAAAATAGCTCACACCAAAGCCTTCACCGAGTATTCACCAGACAACCCGCTTCCAACCCGCGCGAATCTATTTCACTGCGCACATGCTATGAGCGCAGCCAAGCTGTTGAAACCCGTTTTCCCCAGAAAAGTCTGGGGAAATTTAGTGAAACGTTTGAACTCCGATTTCGCGCGTTTTTTTTCATCGCGTTATTTTTCAACTTTATAAGTTGAATTTGCATTTTTTGACGCTTTGTTTCGGTAAGTCCATACCGAAAGGTATCAGAATCTGCAAAGTTGTGTTTTACGTTGCATGTGACCTTTAACAACCAATCCTTGTATGTTTGGAGAGCCTGGCATCGAGTGAGTGAGTGAGTGAGTATGGTTTTACGCCTCTTTTAGCAATATTCCAGCAATATCACGGCGGGGGACACCAGAAAGGGGCTTCACACATTGTGCCCATGTTGGGAATCGAACCCGGGTTTTCGGCGTGACGAGCGAACGCTTTAACCACTAGGCTACCCCACTGCCCCCCTGGCATCAAGGCTGCACCACCCTTTCTTTGATTTACTTTCCAAGGCCATTGAACTAAACGTCATGACACGTGGTTACAAACAATCAACTACATATTTTCCATAAAGGTGTTATGACTTCCTGAAGATGCTCAATGAGATGTTCAATCAGTTGTCACTTTACTGTATCTGCTAGTAATACCTTTACACATGTGGCTTTGTCTATGTAGCCTGGGGTCAAAGAATCGTTATCATGTAGGATGTTAATCATCTTTATATCACCTGTACCTGGTACATAACGTATATCATGAGGCACTACGATTATTGAACACTCATGGATCGGCTCTCATGGATGTGACTTCTTTGAGTGGCATTTTTAGAAGTGTTGTGTATATATATCACATGTACCTGGTACATGACGTATATAATGAGGCACTACGATTATTGAACACTCATGGATCGGCTCTCATGGATGTGACTTCTTTGAGTGGCATTTTTAGAAGTGTTGTGTATATATATCACCTGTACCTGGTACATAACGTATATCATGAGGCACTACGATTATTGAACACTCATGGATCGGCTCTCATGGATGTGACTTCTTTGAGTGGCATTTTTAGAAGTGTTGTGTATATATATCACCTGTACCTGGTACATAACGTATATAATGAGGCACTACGATTATTGAACACTCATGGATCGGCTCTCATGGATGTGACTTCTTTGAGTGGCATTTTTAGAAGTGATGTATATATATATCACCTGTACCTGGTACATAACGTATATAATGAGGCACTACGATTATTGAACACTCATGGATCGGCTCTCATGGATGTGACTTCTTTGAGTGGCATTTTTAGAAGTGTTGTGTATATATATCACCTGTACCTGGTACATAACGTATATAATGAGGCACTACGATTATTGAACACTCATGGATCGGCTCTCATGGATGTGACTTCTTTGAGTGGCATTTTTAGAAGTGTTGTGTATATATCACATGTACCTGGTACATAACGTATATCATGAGGCACTACGATTATTGAACACTCATGGATCGGCTCTCATGGATGTGACTTCTTTGAGTGGCATTTTTAGAAGTGTTGTGTATATATATCACCTGTACCTGGTACATAACGTATATAATGAGGCACTACGATTATTGAACACTCATGGATCGGCTCTCATGGATGTGACTTCTTTGAGTGGCATTTTAGAAGTGTTGTGTATATATATCACCTGTACCTGGTACATAACGTATATAATGAGGCACTACGATTATTGAACACTCATGGATCGGCTCTCATGGTTGTGACTTCTTTGAGTGGCATTTTAGAAGTGTTGTGTATATATATCACCTGTACCTGGTACATAACGTATATAATGAGGCACTACGATTATTGAACACTCATGGATCGGCTCTCATGGATGTGACTTCTTTGAGTGGCATTTTTAGAAGTGTTGTGTATATATATCACCTGTACCTGGTACATAACGTATATAATGAGGCCCTACGATTATTGAACACTCATGGATCGGCTCTCATGGATGTGACTTCTTTGAGTGGCATTTTTAGAAGTGTTGTGTATATATATCACCTGTACCTGGTACATAACGTATATAATGAGGCACTACGATTATTGAACACTCATGGATCGGCTCTCATGGATGTGACTTCTTTGAGTGGCATTTTTAGAAGTGTTGTGTATATATATCACCTGTACCTGGTACATAACGTATATAATGAGGCCCTACGATTATTGAACACTCATGGATCGGCTCTCATGGATGTGACTTCTTTGAGTGGCATTTTTAGAAGTGTTGCGTATATATATCACCTGTACCTGGTACATAACGTATATCATGAGGCACTACGATTATTGAACACTCATGGATCGGCTCTCATGGATGTGACTTCTTTGAGTGGCATTTTTAGAAGTGTTGTGTATATATATCACCTGTTCTCACCCTGTACCATTCTTACTTGAAAACGATACAAAAATCTGTCGTGCTCTAGGATTAAAGACGTTGTCATCCATATATACTTGTTATATTTCACGGATGTGTTTAAAATAACTCATATACACACAAATGGTAATAATTGTTATTCTCTAATCGGATAAAAGAACAAAGGTTTTTTTCGTTTTCTGTAGGTGATGATGTTGTACAAATACATTTACTCAACTTGCTACAGACTGTCAGTTGGCACAGGTCTAGGTCACTTGTCAAAGAAAAATATTAGTCATTTAATATTGTACATTGATATATTAGTTTATAAAAAGATGCCCCATCCACGAAAACAATACAGGTGATAGACAGACATAACAGGTGTGGAATAGAGCACCTCAGGTGACAGACACGAAACAGGCGTGTCGAAAATAGTACAGGTGATAGACATAAATCAAGGCAAAGATAAAACTTTAAGAAAAACTACACAGGTGAAATATTTAAATGAATAAACTGAAAAAATAAGGATGGTACACTGAACACAGAAATACACATAAAAATCATTAATATAAGAGTGAGTGAGTGAGTATGGTTTTACGCCGCTTTTAACAATATTCCAGCAATATCACGGCGGGGACACCAGAAATGGGCTTCACACATTGTACCCATGTGGGGAATCGAACCCGGGTCTTCGGCGTGACGAGCGAACGCTTTAACCACTAGGCTACCCTACCGCCCAATTAATATAAGAGGAGAGAGAGATGGTGTGAATGTTCGAGTGGGAACACTATGTGAAGTCCATCCATGATTCTGTAGCCCCGCTATAAGATCATACCAGGTAAATGGAGGCGTTATAATTTGACAACACTCACCGTCAGCGCCCGAGGTGGGCAGGTAGGGTTCCACGAACAACCGCGCTAATCTGGTGATCTTGTACTCGAGGCCAGACATGGACTCCTGCATCGAAGGGGGTATAACATCACAGCAAACCACCATTGTAATCAAACCTAACACAACAACCGCCACCACTGTGATGAGTCGAAGACTTCTTACATAGTCTATTACAGAACACACCGCGTCCAGTTGTCGTGCATACGGTGTTCTGTTGGAGACATCTCGTTGTAATGCCTTCTTGGAGCAGCTATGTATTGCCGCGTCGCTTAAGTGCATTCTTTTCCCTAATCGAAAAAGTTTATCTGCTCTGACAGAGAGTTCTGTGATTGAACTCTGTTTTGAGAATACATTGTCACTAAGATATTTCATCATGAAAGTCCTGGACCCATACGCTAGCAGTATGCTGGGAAATGTTGTTGAAATTTTCGTTAATCATTAAAATGTTGCGTTACACTCCAAGTTAGCACTTTTGACACTGAATAATGTTTTAAAAAATGCAAAATATAAGAACAATATCCTCATGGCTGTCACACGTATTGTCTTCAGAAACTGCCAAGTGTGTTCACGACTAAGGCCGAAGATAGGCCTTAATCAGGTTCTGTTAGATCCTGACTCTTGCCACTATCATCATCAGTGCCTGTAACCCACTGAGCCCATCTGCATTCCGGGTGCATGGAGCGTCAACTATCCACCGACTTACGTGCATGCATTCGTCCGAGTCGACATCGACGCTATCTATTTGTACGTGGCTCTATGGTCAAGACATTTCATAATTAACCACCGCATGTTGCATTCCTTTTCGTCTGTTACAACGCGATCTTTGACAAATTTACACTTATAACAAGCACGATCCAAGCTGTGACAGGGAAAATCTTAAGGCTAGATCGGTTGCGACTTCATGATTCATGTGCACACTAGTGTTGGGAATTGGTTAAACTTTTATAATTGATGATTGCTTCATTACAACCGATCAATCATCAAAAATAATTGGTTAGCGTCATTTATGAATTTTTCCTGGTTATTTTTGTTAATGAACAAAAACATAAAGAAAACACATGTAGTTCTTAGGTGTTTTTGTGTGCAAATTTCACATCTTGAAAGGATGACTAATATGTTAGGAACATAACTCTCTTGGGGCCTTTAAGATAAATTCAATCATGACTTGGAACGAGCTTGTAGTGCTCATGAAATGTAACTGATAAAACCAACCTTGTGAAAAATATTGTTAATGCAAAAAGTGTTCCAGAATTGTTTGTGTTCGATTATGAGAAAACATGATCGATTGAATGGTCGTTTAGTCATTGCGACCAATCTTCGATTATTTCAATTAATCGGACCACCACTAGTGCACACTCCTTTGTCCAAACTCCTGGATCCATCTCTGCTTGTTGGGAAGTCGTCACAGGCTGATTAGCAGTACCAGCATATTTGAACTTTAACAAAAATTACATATTATGGTGTAAAGCAATTACCTAGGAAATGTCCTTGATACCGCGTCTCACGCATGTTACATATTGCAACGTATGCCACCACTAACCCGATAACCTGCATCGTTTCAGGATATCCTCCTTCTGTTCAATGAACTGTCACGCATTAATCGGGGCTGACGTGACAGATATATCGGCACTGTCTCCATCCGACACGTGAATCTTGTCTGAACCAACCAGTCATACCATTACAACAGGCGATCCACGCCGCCAACAGCATCATAAACTGTCACAGCTGTAGACACCCGGCCACCAAGGGGTATTGTCGTTACATTCTCATTAAAAATCCCCTTTGGTGCATGAAATGGGAATGTCATTTTTTATCACCGAACATTGATTCACATGTACAAAATTTAATATATATATTTTATATGATCACACATGTCTAAAAAATCAATACCTTCACATAATGGCCACATGCACCCTATGACGTATTAGTTTTAGCAACTGTATCCTCTATTGTGTTTGTGATAAGAGATTCAAATCTATTTGTATTTACGGCCAGCAGTAGCCAGGTTGCATGGAAGTGTGACAGATGCGAGTACTGTCGCTATAAATGCATGTCGCCCGTAAATGTCTCGTGTCACAACGATGCTACATGCGCACCTGACGTCAGCCTGTCAGACAGATTTATTTACCTGTACAGGTAGGTCAGAGGTCGTGCTTACATTTCTGGAACAACTGTCAAGTTACCCCGACTAAACTATTATACTACATTTATTTCATTGTTCCTCAGATTCTACATTCTTTTTCACGGGGAATGGTTTCTTGAACTATTTAACTGTGTGAATGTTGTTTTACACCGCTGGTGGAAACATCACTAAGCTGTCGTCATCGGCTCTCATGGATGTGTTTTAAAAAAACACTAGTGGTAAGAATGGTTATACTCTAATCGGATCAAAGAACAAATTGTTTTTGTTTTCTTTTAAGTGATGATGTTGTACAAATACATTTACTGTGTTCCAGACCGCCAGTTGGCACAGGTCTAGGTCATTTGTCAAAGAAAAATATTAGTCATTTGATATTGTACATTGCTATATCAGGTTAGAAGAGATGCCCCATGCACGAAAATAGTACAGGTGATAGACAGACAGAACAGGTGTGGAATACAGCAGCTCAGGTGACAGACACGAAACAGGTGTGTCGAAAATAGTACAGGTGATATACATAAATCAAGGCAAAGATAATTTTTAAAATATTTTTTTTATTTATTCAAATCATTTACACGGTTTTGCATGACAGTATATTTAGGAGAATAGAGCATGGCAGTTTGGCTATTGAAGTAGTTTCTATTACAATTAATGAGAGAGGTATACTTAGTTAACTTATAGAATTCAGTGAGCTCCTTCTGTATCAACTGGAATGTTGGCGTGTAGTTATTCTTTCTAAAGTTAAAAATGATTCATTTTGACAGGATAATTACAAGGTTTATGGGATTGTTATTTTTCGATAAACAGCCAAAAAAGAACGTTTTCTTTGGATATTGTTACCGGGCTTTGCATTTTGTGCGATATCCAACTTGTCAGGTCTCTCCAGATGGGACTCACTTTGTTGCATTCCCAGAATATATGTTTGACATATTCTATTTCTTTAGAACAGGGGTGGTGGGGTAGCCTAGTGGATAAAGCGTTGGCTCGTCACGCCAAAGACCTGGGTTCGATTTCCCACATGGGTACAATGTGTGAAGCCCATTTGTGGTGTCCCCCGCCGTGATATTGCTGGAATAGTGCTAAAAGCGGCGTAAAACCATACTCACTCACTCGTTGCTGTCGTAGAACAGTAACTGCATTTTGTACTGTCCACGTAACCCATCGAGTGAGAAGACAGTTGGTTGGCAAGATATGGTGTAAGATTTGATATTGGAACCACTGCAGTTCAGTCACATTCGTGCAACTAAACGGGATAGAATTGATGTTCTTCCTGTCTTGTTCGTCAATATCATGTCCAAGGACTTCCCATTTGGCGAAGTGATTATTTTTCTCGCATATCTCTGTAATAAATATTTTATAGTACTACTGTGAACCTTGTTTTTGTCTGTTCAGATGGTATATATGAAATGGTAAAAGAGGGGATTGTAGGAAAGCATTTAGTTTTGGTAATCGTTGGCTTCTACAGAATTGTTTAATAGCTTGAACAACACCTGTGTAGGTTAGAAAGTTAGGTTTCACGTTGAAAACAGATTTGAAGGTTTCGAATTTATTATCTACAAGATCGTTGATGAAACGTACCCCATTTACAAACCATTCGCTGTAAAATATGCTAGCATGCATGTTTATGTTCTCGTTACACCATATATACTAGGCTAGGATGCCCTTGGCATTTATACTCTCCGCGTGGATGTTATCTATGAACTTCACGAGGCTTCATAAGGTCCTTGTAGTATGCATTTCGTATCCTGGTAATCATAAGAATAATGGACACCACTTCGACGTTGATTTTGATGCTCGACGTACCATTGGTATTCTTTGGGCATGGATTATTTCTAGTATTTTGGGGCATTTTATACCTCCATCTGATGTTTCACAAATAATCTGGCTTCTTACTTTGTCGGGTTATTTCCCAAAATGAACTCGAAACACTTTTGTCTAATATCTGGTGGATCTGGAAGAGATGAGAATAGATGGCTGCATTTGGGAAGAAAACGTGATTTTAAGTATGGTGTTTTCAAAATCTACAAGTATATTAAACCTGGTATCCGATAGGTGTCTGTGTAGTCCAGTAAGTGATATATTTGTTGTTATTTCACCTATGTATCTTCCAGCAATAAATCCTTTTTGGTCTTCATTAATCAATGAATTTAACACAGTTTTTACTCTTTGTGATATTGCTATCGGTGTGATTTTATAGAACACGGATAGTAGGTTGAGCTTATTGGTCGCCAGTTTTTCAAATATTGTTTTGGTTTATTTCCTTTTGGAAGTAGCGTTATTAGTCCTTGTCTTTGTGATATTGATAAGTGTCCATTTTTGTAAGCGCTATTTAACGACTTTAGAAGATATTTCCTTAGATCGTTCCAGAAAAAAATGATACATTCCGCCGTAAAACCATCTTGGCCAGGACGCTTGTCATTTTTAAAGTGTTTCACAGCTTCCTGCATCTCATTGTAGGTCAGCTCACCTTCTAACCTCTGGGCTATTTCATTTGATAGTTTAGGAGTATCGTATTCTTTTAGTATTCTTTTCAAGGTCTATTTTGAAATGTTCTGTTTTGAATATAGTTTCAAGTAATACGATTTTCCTTCTTTTGGTAGATCCTCTGTTCCACAGGAGATATCGCTTTGTGTGAGATCAAACGATATCTCCTAGGAGATATCGCTTTGACAGTAGATTTTGTACAATGCCCTGACAATGCTATGACGTCATGAACTTGATGACGTCACAATGCTATGACATCGCTGCACTGCAAGTCTAATGGCAGTACAGTGTTCAGATATGTACATTTTCATTGAAAACTAATGAAGAATGATTTTTGATGATAAATAGAATCTCATCCTCGTGTTATCAACACTCGTTGATAAAGGTAAAAATATTCTCGGCAAGCCTCGGATATTTGTAACTTTATCAACTCGTGTTGATATAATTGATATCAGTAGACACTTGGGTGAGATTCTCTATATAACCTGACCCAACACACCATTATATCAAGTCCCGACACAAACAAAAATCAAATATGACGCAAATAGTGTACCAGACCGCACATTAGTAAGAGAGACACACACACGCACACGAATATATATAGGAATGCACAATACGGGTAAATATTCCGGTCCTTTGGTTAGGGAAGGGGGTCTGTGGAGAGGAACTCTTGTACAGATTCTTACACAAACTACTACGGGGAATAACATTGGAGGCACACAGGCAACACCCATTTCATCACATGGTGTTGTACCCATGGGGAGGTTACCAGTTGAGATTTCATCACATGGTGTTGTACCCATGGGGAGGTTACCAAGTGAGATTTCATCACATGGTGGTGTACCCATGGGGAGGTTACCAATTGAGATTTCATCACATGGTGTTGTACCCATGGGGAGGTTACCAATTGAGATTTCATCACATGGTGTTGTACCCATGGGGAGGTTACCAACTGAGATTTCATCACATGGTGTTGTACCCATGGGGAGGTTACCAACTGAGATTTCATCACATGGTGTTGTACCCATGGGGGAGGTTACCAATTGAGATTTCATCACATGGTGTTGTACCCATGGTTGAGGTTACCAATTGAGATTTCATCACATGGTGTTGTACCCATGGGGAGGTTACCAATTGAGATTTCATCACATGGTGTTGTACCCATGGGGAGGTTACCAACATGGTGTTGAGATTTCATCACATGGTGTTGTACCCATGGGGAGGTTACCAATTGAGATTTCATCACATGGTGTTGTACCCATGGGGAGTTATTTGAGATTTCATCACATGGTGTTGTACCCATGGGGAGGTTACCAATTGAGATTTCATCACATGGTGTTGTACCCATGGGGAGGTTACCAATTGAGATTTCATCACATGGTGTTGTACCCATGGGGAGGTTACCAGTTGAGATTTCATCACATGGTGTTGTACCCATGGTGTTACCAATTGAGATTTCATCACATGGTGTTGTACCCATGGGGAGGTTACCAATTGAGATTTCATCACATGGTGTTGTACCCATGGGGAGGTTACCAATTGAGATTTCATCACATGGTGTTGTACCCATGGGGAGGTTACCAATTGAGATTTCATCACATATGTGCCATACCCATGGGGATGGTGTACCAGTTGAGATTTCATCACATGGTGTTGTACCCATGGGGAGGTTACCAGTTGAGAATTCATCACATGGTGTTGTACCCATGGGGAGGTTACCAATTGAGGTTCATCACATGTTGTTGTACCCATTCATCACCAGATTTCATCACATGGTGGTCACATGGTGTTGTACCCATGGGGAGGTTACCAATTGAGATTTCATCACATGGTGTTGTACCCATGGGGAGGTTACCAATTGAGATTTCATCACATGGTGTTGTACCCATGGGGAGGTTACCAACTGAGATTTCATCACATGGTGTTGTACCCATGGGGAGGTTACCAATTGAGATTTCATCACATGGTGTTGTACCCATGGGGAGGTTACCAATTGAGATTTCATCACATGGTGTTGTACCCATGGGGAGGTTACCAATTGAGATTTCATCACATGGTGTTGTACCCATGGGGAGGTTACCAGTTGAGATTTCATCACATGGTGGTGTACCCATGGGGAGGTTACCAATTGAGATTTCATCAATATATGCCATCTATTAGCCATGGTGTAGTAAAACTTATACTGAGTGGAGTATACAGGCTTTAAATCCCCTCACGTATATTAACACACTGTGGATATAAGTACAGGTACACACATGCATGCATGCATACATACATACATACACACAAGTATATGCATACCATGGTTTGATATGTGGGTTTGAGGACTCAATGAATCTTGTGATCCTCGCCTCAAAGAACACAAATTTGTCATGCCAGAGGGTAGCATAAACGAAATGGGTTGGTCTAACGCGTAAAAAGTCATTTAATATTTACATTGATCTATTAGTTTAGAAAAAAATGCACCATGCACGAAAACAATACAGGTGATAGACAGAGAAAACAGGTGTGGAATAAGCTGCACAGGTGAGACTACAGAAACAGGTGTGTCGAAAATAGTACAGGTGATAGACATATATCAAGGCAAAGATAATACTTTAATAAATAATCACAGGTGAAATATTTGGACTTCTATGAAAATGCCTTGCAAAACACGATTTCATGATGGTTTAAGTACTTATATCAATATAAACATTATTCCTCTTCTACTGTAAAATATATGCCTCCCTCATTCCACTGGGTTTGTTTTATATTGGGAAAAGGGGCGGTGGGGTAACCTAGTGGTTAAAGCGTTCGCTCATCACGCGGAAGACCCAGGTTCGATTCCCCACATGGGTACAATGTGTGAAGCCCATATTTGGTGTCCCCGCCATGATATTGCTGTAACATTGCTAAACGTGGGGTAAAACTAAACTCTCTCAATTATATTGGCAAGTGCACAACACATGGCACCATGTAATCATAACACTCCCAACATTAATGAAGCTTTGAAACTTACAAGATCTTTCCAGCTAGATTAACATTGTAAGAACGGCACGGAAACGTCACTATATGCATCTGCAATCAAGAGGAGTGGTCATCCATAAAGTTGTATGCTTCATTACTGAATAACCAAGTTCTAGAATGTCGATCAAACAACGAACATTCACCGGTCTATCCCACCATATTCTAATGCTGTTCCCTTTATGTTCAGCAATTTCAAAGTTACTAATGAAGCTGATTTATCATTAATTTCATGGGACTCATTTGTTTTCGTTTATCTGTCCTAACTCATCAGTATACTAATGACACTATTTTACATCTCTCAATCTGAAACAATACAGACTGGAATCAAGAATATATCAATATATTTAATTCAAATTTCAACTTGATATACAGAGTGAAGATTTAACAATTTGTACACATCCCCTTTCCAGTTACTCACTCACTTCACTTCATCCATTCATTGCATCTTCAGTTTGTGGAGTAGTTGTACAGACAATGGCATAATACAAAAAATATATTTAAAAAAATATAATTAGAGTACAGTGGAATTCTAAAAATACGGAATTCTTAACAAGATGTAGAATGCTGAATTCAAACCAAAACTTACTATATTTTTAAATTACATATGCAATACCGTACACCTTTGAGGAATTCTTAATGCTTCTAATTACTTAATGGACTTGTGCTGGTTGTAAAACACACCTAAGGTTGCCTGTCCACCCTATACTTCCTCCAAATCTCCCAGCATTAGATGTTAAACCCTGAACATTCTTTACATAGAGACAATCAACGCATTATTTTCAATTAGAATTTTCATCAACAAGAACAAGGGACAGCTCCACAAGACTTGAGGAGTCTACAACTGTCTAAAGATTCTTTTTAAATATTGGACAGGAGAGTAGTCAAACTTTGTATGAAAATATCAGTTTGTGAATTTGGCTTGTCAAGAAATAATACCAGTGTTTTTCAGATCAAGATTCCTTTCCGGATTAAGAAGATATCAATGATTTGTTTGACAATATTATGCTGGAGGTGTAGTTGCTATATCCGACTCATTGGTCTTCTGTTTCTGACAACAGTGGTGGAGGCAACTCCGGTAACATATGTCCGAGGTAGCTGATACTGATTTCCTCCTTGTTGTCAGAGACTTCTACGTCCATGGCGCCACTCAGGAAAAGCACTGTACAAACAAACAACACTATTACATACAGTTTTCTACTGAATACATTGGCCGAGTAGCGGCATTTGACAAAAATACATAGGGATTCCAAGTCAGATCTGTTAATTCATGGCGTTGAGGGGCGGTTGGGTAGCCTAGTGGTCAAAGTGTTCGCTCATCACATCGAGGACCTGAGTTCGATTTTGTGTGAAGCCCATTTCTGGAGTCCCCCCACGGTGATATTGCTGGACTATTGCTAAAAGTGGCCAAACCTAAACTCACTCACTCACTCACTCCTGGCATTGACTGATAACAGATCAGGATTACTTGGAAGGGTTATACCCAAACCTTAGCCTATCAGATGATTCTGTTTGTTGGAACTTTCTGACATTATTGTAGCTACTATTGTTTGAAATGTTGAATCTGATTTTGTTCCTTATATATATTATTCAATAAAACAATTACTGACTTTATATGAGTTTAATACTCTCTTTATGGTAATTAGAAAATGATCCAAATATGGATCTCAGGCTTCCAGATTTCAGAATAGAAAATATAATATAGAAATATATGAATAGAATATGAACTAACATGCTCTTTTATTTTTTAAGAAAGAAATTCATTGTCTTAAAAAAATGTATCAAATTCATTTTAAACTGCAAATTTACAAAATGGTGCACTGTTGATGCAATCATGTAGAACAAGAAGCTATGTTGAATGTCGTTCAATCTCAACAAACAAGGAATTATCCACAGTCAGCTGCTTAGGCCAAAAAAAAAAAATGTCCGTTTCCTATTACATGCTTTTTAAAAATAGGGTAGGTGGGTCAGTTTTATCTTTTTTTTAAACTTTTTTTTTATTTTATAGTAGCACCAGGTGGGCACCTGAGGTCTTCAAGGATACCATATCATGTAGTGACAATGCCTTGTGATGAAACATTGAAAGATTTCTATATCAAATCATTATTTATGTTATATATTTGCAGATTTGGTCAGTGACAGCCCATTATGCCAATTCAATACAATCCATTTTAGCCCTATGTACACTGAAAAACATGAACATATCATAATCGATTTGGATGAAACTGATGAGTTGAAGTGCACTCCAGTCATGATATTGACTTGGTTAAAAAAAGATTTACGGTCGGTCGGGTTACCGGAAACGGACATATTTTTTTTCTTGGCCTTACACAGACAAGGGCCCAGTAAAGATGAAGTCAATCACACTGAGTTCACATTGTAGTAAAGCATTAATTCTATTAAATCAAGATTTTATTGTTTTTGTAAGAAAGTCCAAAGTGGAAGTATTTCATTAAACAGTATCAATTATAAAGAAATAATTGCAAGAAACCTTTCTATTTTTTTATCCAAAATTAAATCTTCATGTGAACCATTATCTTCATTTAAATGATTAACACTGACAATGAAATAACATTGGTAATGTCACGCTGATATAATCCAAAGCGGCAAGGATATCTCTACTATTATGTTCCTCAATTCTCTCTGAGCTATATAATCTGGTTTTCATGCTGTTAGGTTAATTCACATCCATTGTTTCCATTGTTCTTGTCCATCTTGTCTTAACAACAATGCATTGTCACAAACAATTAAAGATGACTTCTTCCATTGTTCATGTCATCACAGCAGTTTTTGTGACATTGTTCGAACAACAGACCTAGTCAGCTAGCTATTCTTGAAACATTCATAGCCCTACAAACTTCTGAAGCCCATTCTTAACACACTGGCTACGGTCAAAGTTAAGGATTCTTAGGGCTACGAACGTTTCGAGAATATTGGCCAATGTGTCTGCTTGTGAAGGGGAGACCACAGTTTTCTACACTGTCCCTCACAAAACAAAATACTGGCATCTTAGAATTATGGATTTTATCTTTGTTGATAAACAATATCAATTTTTTCCCAATTCAATTACTATTTGACATACTGAGTGATAAACATAATAACAGAACCTTTGATTGTTTGTTTTGAATTGTTTTAAGAATAAAATACAAGCTCATAGTCTTTGACATTGTGTGCCAACCCTTGCAACCCTTGCTGCAGAATTCACAGGAGAATGCCATGAGTCATGCAGGTAAGCCAATAGGTTGTTTAATATGGGATTCCAACAAATCTCAATCTTAATCATGATACAAATTTTGTTTGCAGAAACCCTTATTTCAAATATTTCTTTTGGTAGCTCTTTTTGTCACAACTGCCTTTGAATGTAACCATGCAAAGCTCCATGTGACAATGTTTCTTTGCTATGTAAGAAAATAGAATGTAGAAGTCTATTCTTTAATCTCACATTGACTCATCAGTCCCGGACACAACTAAAGGGAGATAACCCTTGACAAAACGTTTGCCTGCTGGTCGGTGTTTTTCCACAGCACACATTGGAATGAAGTTACACTGTCCTTCATGGAAGCGCTGTCAGCTTCCTGCAGAATTATATCATGCTTTCAAGTAAACACAGAATTACTATTAAAAGCCCCAAAATCAGAGTCGGTTCATGGAATATTTTCAGAAGACATTTAAAAAAATATGTGTTTGAAGTATTAAGTTGCTGCTTAATGCGCTCCACCATGAACTACCAGAACAATCTGTAGGACATCTTTATAAGCATCCCCCAAAAGACCAAAAATTACTCTGACAATCCATAACTTCATGTGGTTTTACAGAAAACAGCCGTAACGATCAATGACTAATAATGAAAATGTTTGGGTTGCATTATGATGTATACTAAGTTTGTTCACTACTGCATTAAAAAGAGCTTAAATTTGTGTAAGTTTTTGACAGCACACTACAAATTTGTTAGGTGCTCAGGGTACAAATGATGATGAATCTGGCGTGTGTTTCCATATTTGCAGGTATTATTGAGTATTTATTGCCTCCAAATTTTAATCTGGTACCGACAGCACTTTTAGAGGTTTAAAACAGTAAATTATGAGGTAAGAAAGTTACGTCTTCAGGTGACTGATAAATTAAAAGTTCCTCCATGCTTGTACAGTCAGCTTTGAAAACTTCACCCTTTAAATTGTTTTAAACAAAAAAATTAATATGATGCTGTGATACTTAAAGAGCAATAAAAAAGCAAGACCATTTCAAAGTTGGTAATATTGTAAATCATTAATATTGGTTAGTTTGGTTATTAGTTGTCCAACATCACACAATATTTCAACTATATGACTAGAAAACCTAGTGACTGATATCATGAGCAATGCTCCACGTCATCAGATATGCAAGCCGACGACATGCAAACAGCCGAGTCAGCAACCCTGATCACCCAATCTATTAAAACTCATCCCAGACTAGCATTCAATGCTGTGGAGCAGTTGGAGGCAGGGTGCCTGGTGTGAGTCCCCCTTGTACAACACAGTAGATCTCACAACTAACCCATATCTCCCTCCTTCACTGTGACGCTCAATGACTGACAGACGTCATCACATCCCTTGTGTGGGCGGAACACGAGAGTCCGGGTGCCTGTCCCCTGGGCGTACCAGCTGTACCCTTCCAATGTGCTGGGAGGCTGCAAACATAAGTGAAAAATATGAAAAAACCTTCCCTTTGATGGAACAATTCAGTTTCTACAGTTAATTAACCTAAAAAAATGTTAAATAGCACAGGTATTTTTAAAACAATATAAACACTGTTGGTTTCAAGATATTTCTCATTAACATCTTGCACCATGTTCTTGACTACTATGTGATTACCTCCCTTACATACTGAAATCGATAAACATTGTCTTTCCACAACAATTGGTGCAGCAACCCTTTCAGGTCACATGAACAAGAAGCTAACCAGTACAGAGGCACCGTCTCCCTCCCAGTGATAAACTTACTGACAAATGTCACACACAGCAACGTTTAGATGAAAATACAGATGAACAACTAACAACATTGTTTGTGAAAAAGTAGATAAAAATTACATGTTGCAAGCAATAATTGTGTTTATAATACAAATATACTTTCTGTTCAGTTACCCAGGTGTTCAGCTGACTTATACCATTTCAAATAGACAATGGCTCAACTGTCTCACCTGTTTACACCTTTGCGAGAACAATCCTGATTCATAAGTGCAAAAAGTGATTAAATTAATGACATTTCAAATTTTGTGTTCGTAAAGTGTGCCATTATTTGTCTCAGGTTCACACCTATTTTTTATTGTAATGTTAGCTAAATCGAGACAAAAACAACTGACGCAGTTTCCTTACTTGTAAAACTACAATGTAAACAACATGTGTGTCTCAACCGGACGTATCCTCAATCAGTTTGATCACGGAATAGATCGGTACACAATGTCCTAATTGTGTCCCGTTGTTGCCCACATGAGTTTTGTCGTGGGGTTTACGATTACAGTCGATTTTTCAGCTCTGATTGTCGATATATATAATGTGAGTGATAACCAGCACTAGATACTAGGCGCTATATATATATCCATTATTATTATTATTATTTTTGTACTCACTTCTTATGATTTTAGGGCCAGTGAAATTCATAAATAGAGTATTAAAATAAATAACTCATGGCTTATATGACAAAATCATCATGCCCACCCTTTTAAAAGGTCCCAAATGGAAATAACCCATTGCCCGGCGTCCGGGTCCAGTGTTTTTTTTTCTGTCGGGCAAGCAAATTTGTATATCTCCTGTAAGTTGACCAAGTGAGTCTTAAAGTTAGTGGATTTGTTGTTACATGGCAGTGTTGTTTTGTGTCTTAAAAAACAATGTTGAAATGTTGTAATTAATATATTGTTTTTTTTCAAGTTTCACTTTATGTTCATAACTAGTTGTTGGAATGAATAACTGTCTATCCTTAACAGTGGTGTGGAAGTTAATATATTATGATGCTTTAGGAGCAAAGGTTAATCCGGAAGAACAGTTAGAGAACAATCCTGCAACAGAACTTTCTAGAGGGATAGGAAAGCACCACACATAACATCACTGCCACAGGCTAATTTGCATATCATGTGACCGGACTTTTCTCTTGTTTGTAATCAAACACGCATATTCATAATAAGAAGAGACTGGACTCACGAACGCTTTTCGGCGCTCTCTTCATAATGTTTTACATTGTTACATATATATTCTTCCACAACTGCGACAGTTAGGTCTATGACAGTACATATTTAGATATCAAACTGGCTGCATCGTTTGCTCTCCGTCGGCGACGATGACAGCACGTGGAGCCGTACAACCTATGTAAACAAAGGATCGCTACGCAAATCGAAATAGTGTTCCATGTTTTTGGATATATTCTCAGTGAAACTAATTCATTCTATTAAAGATGTTTAGTAAGATGTGTAGACCCATCAAAAATAAAAGAGTAAAAGAAATCTGTACATTATATTGAATGGACGGTGCAAGATGTGACGAATCGTCCTGTGGCAGAGGTACTATGCTGGCTTGCCGCATGGAACTCTGGGTTGGAGAGTGGGAAAGCACATGCCTGATCTAATACTACATCAAGACCACGGATAATAGTTTCACCCTGTATATCTGGCCTTGACCTATTTTGGAAGCTTGACCTTGCTTGCTGCTGGGTGAGTATCATTATAAGTGACTTCATAGCCGTAACTACCTCCTGTGTAATTCATACAACCATTAGGTGTACAACTGTCAAATTTTGTACTTCCTGTCTATTGGGGACTGCACCTGTACTTATTTGGCAACTGTCTGTATTGATTTGAAAACCTAGTTGATTTTATGACATATTTGTTAATTGTGTAACATTCTTTCTTACTTCTAGTTGGTTTTACACTGATTTCTTTGTGCAAAGATTTCTTGGTTGACTTTTCTGTTTGAATTTGGTATCACTGGCCATATATTACAGAGCTGTATCATATTTTGCTGACACATCAAATCATATTATCAGGAGGAACATGGCATATTCTTCATAAGGCATTCTGCAGAATCTGAGACATTTATCAAAATGTGGTCAATGTAAAGTAACAATCAAGTAGTTATTTCAAATAGACAAGTGGAATTGCAAAATATTTGAAGCTAAAGAGTGGTGCAAAACTGTTTTCCATGTCCAGAGTTACCAACTGCTTGTCATGACAGGGTCGTCAGCTACTCACCAGTTTCCGATGTTCAGCACCTTTCCCGTCAATGAAGACATTCCTCTGGAGACAAATCTCTGCATTAGAGGGGATGACCGACGCTTTTGGAAACAGACTCCTCATCAGCTGCCCATGAAACAGCTTCTCCCTGCTATCCCTGTCGGAAGTTACAATAAACATAATAATGATCATTGCTATATATCTAGATTTATGATTAAGTCCTGGGCCCATTTCCTCAAAGCATATTAGAGCTAGGACAGTAGTAAGTCTATGTTGAAGTATGAGAGTTACGATCATCTTAGGCCATTTCAGTTACTGGCTGTAGATCCTCAACTCACTGTCAATAGGCCAAGGGAAGCAGCACACTGTCAATAGGACCAAGGGAAGCAGCACACTGTCAATAGGGCCAAGGGAAGCAGCACACTGTCAATAGGGCCAAGGGAAGCAGCACACTGTCAATAGGCCATGGGAAGCAGCACACTGTCAATAGGCCATGGGAAGCAGCACACTGTCAATAGGACCAAGGGAAGCAGCACACTGTCAATAGGACCAAGGGAAGCAGCACACTGTCAATAGGGCCAAGGGAAGCAGCACACTGTCAATAGGGCCAAGGGAAGCAGCACACTGTCAATAGGGCCAAGGGAAGCAGCACACTGTCAATAGGGCCAAGGGAAGCAGCACACTGTCAATAGGGCCAAGGGAAGCAGCACACTGCCAGTAGGGCCAAGGGAAGCAGCACACTGTCAATAGGGCCAAGGGAAGCAGCTCACTGTCAATAGGCCATGGGAAGCAGCACACTGTCAATAGGACCAAGGGAAGCAGCACACTGTCAATAGGACCAAGGGAAGCAGCACACTGTCAATAGGCCAAGGGAAGCAGCTCACTGTCAATAGGGCCAAGGTAAGCAGCACACTGTCAATAGGCCAATGGCAGCACATGGAAGCAGCACACTGTCAATAGAGGCCAAAGGGAAGCAGCACACTGTCAATAGGGCCATGGGAAGCAGCACACTGTCAATAGGGCCAAGGGAAGCAGCACACTATCAATAGAGACCAAGGGAAGCAGCTCACTGACTGCCAGTAGGGCCAAGGGAAGAAGCTCAGTGTCAATGGGTCTAAGGGAAGTAACTCACTGTCAATAGGGCCATGGGAAGCAGCACACTGTCAATAGGGCCAAGGGAAGCAGCACACTGTCAATAGGGCCAAGGGAAGCAGCACACTGCCAGTAGGGCCAACTGTCAATAGGAAGAAGCAGCACACTGTCAATAGGGCTAAGGGAAGCAGCTCACTGTCAATAGGGCCATGGGAAGCAGCACACTGTCAATAGGGCCAAGGGAAGCAGTCAATGAGGCCAAGGGAAGCACACTGTCAATAGGGCCAAGGGAAGCAGCACACTGTCAATAGGGCCAAGGGAAGCAGCACACTGTCAATAGGGCCAAGGGAAGCAGCACACTGTCAATAGGGCCAAGGGAAGCAGCACACTGTCAATAGGGCTAAGGGAAGCAACTCACTGTCAATAGGGCCATGGGAAGCAGCACACTGTCAATAGGGCCAAGGGAAGCAGCACACTGTCAATAGGGCCAAGGGAAGCAGCACACTGTCAATAGGGCCAAGGGAAGCAGCACACTGTCAAGGGAAGAAAGCACACTGTCAATAGGGCCAAGGGAAGCAGCTGACTGTCAATAGGGCCAAGGGAAGCAGCTGACTGTCAATAGGGCTAAGGGAAGCAGCACACTGTCAATAGGGCTAAGGAAAGCAGCACACTGTCAATAGGACCAAGGGAAGCAGCTCACTGTCAATAGAGGCCAAGGGAAGCAACACACACTGTCAATAGGGCCATGGGAAGCAGCACACTGTCAATAGGGCTGAAGGGAAGCAGGAAGCCAAAGGGAAGCACACTGTCAATAGGACCAAGGGAAGCAGCACACTGTCAATAGGCCATGGGAAGCAGCAGCACACACTGTCAATAGGGCCAAGGGAAGCAGCACACTGTCAATAGGGCCAAAGGGAAGCAGCTCACTGTCAATAGGGCCAAGGGAAGCAGCACACTGTCAATAGGGCCATGGGATGGGCAGCACACTGTCAATAGAGCCAAGGAAGCAGCACACTGTCAATAGGGCCAAGGGAAGCAGCTCACTGCCAGTAGAGACCAAGGGAAGAAGCTCAGTGTCAAAAGGTCTAAGCAGGAAGTCACTCACTGTCAATAGGGCCAATGGGAAGCAGCACACTGTCAATAGGCCAAGGAAGCAGCACACTGTCAAAGGGAAGCAGCACACTGTCAATAGGGCCAAGGGAAGCAGCACACTGTCAATAGGGCCAAGGGGGAAGCAGCACACTGTCAATAGGTCTAAGGAAGGGAAGTAACTCACTGTCAATAGGGCCATGGGAAGCAGCACACTGTGTCAATAGGACCAAGGGAAGCAGCTGACTGTCAATAGGGGCAGCACCCAAGGGAAGCAGCACACTGTCAATAGGGCCAAGGGAAGCAGCACACTGTCAATAGGGCCAAGGGAAGCAGCACACTGTCAATAGGGCCAAGGGAAGCAGCTGACTGTCAATAGGGCTAGGGGAAGCAGCTGACTGTCAATAGAGCTAAGGAAAGCAGCACACTGTCAATAGGACGAAGGGAAGCATCTCACTGTCAATAGGGCGAAGGGAAGCAGCACACTGTCAATAGGGCCAAGGGAAGCAGCACACTGTCAATAGGCCCAAGGGAAGCAGCACACTGTCAATAGGGCCAAGGGAAGCAGCACACTGTCAATAGGGCTAAGGGAAGCAGCACACTGCCAATAGGACGAAGGGAAGAAACTCAGTCTCATTAGGTCTAAGGGAAGTAACTCACTGTCAATAGGGTCAAGGGAAGTAACCTCACTGAAGCGTCATTACAAACTGTTTACCTCTTTTGTAATATTTTTTTGCAGTAATTCAGACACATCATTTTAAAACAAGGATATTTAACAGAATATAAACAAACTATCCAAAATTGTAATAGTATCAGTAAAATAATTATGATATTAACATTTGTATTTATCTTACCTCACACATAAATGTAGCTTTCTGATTGGCTGAGCCCTCTTCTATTATTTTCAATGTACCCCGCTTACGAGCAAGTAACATTTCAATGTACCCCGATGTCAATGGCAACTCATTTGGTACTTCTTGGTAGTAATTCTTTATCTCAAATAACATTGAATCACGTATGATGTACGGAAATTATCGATGTTTTGCGAATGCAAATCGATGGAAGGGAGACTAACTCTAAATCTGTTTTTCTTGTCAGCAAAATCTAGCGATGGCTACAAAAAATTTGTACCCGTGCTTCAAACAGTTCAAAATTAAGGTGTTTGGTAAGATAAATACGTTGTTCACTGGTCCCTCAGGGCCCATGGATTGATGTACCCTCGGGCTAAGGGAACATAAACAAACATCGAGGGTACATCAACCCATGTCCTCCTCGAGACCAATGAACAACTTATATTAGAATGGACATTTTACAATAAAAATGCAGCCTACCAGTTACATGAGAAGTTTTCATCCTGTATTATTTTGTCCAGTAAGTCTGGTCTGGCTAGGTCACTTGTATACTGAGCCCAGTCGGCAGTACAGTCCAGGGAATGACTGGTCAGCATGTGGTTGTCCTGGTACTTGTGTAAAACCTGCCATATGTCACGGAGATGTACCGGCGCTTGGAGGCCCTGAAACATGACACCTTGTGCATCAGAGTGTGGAACTGATGCAGGTGTAGCGGCCAAAAACTTTGCAAGTCCCGTGATGGGATTAGAACCACAGATCTTCTGATCCGAAGTCGGATGCCTTGTCCACATGACCAAAGAGGTTAACCCCGTCAGCAAGCTGACAAGGTAAGGATGTCATCTGTGGGATGACTCCACGCCCAGCTACATTGGTCTCACATGATCATTGCTTTGGTGAAACCCATGAGGACTGGTGCACTGGTGCTGACAAACAATCAGTGCAAAACCCACTCTCCCTGTGTTAAAATGCTGGTATGAAAATTAAAATATATTTTTTTAAATCCCATTGCCTTAAATCAAATTTAAAGTTGCTGGCAGGACAATGTTGTGTAATTGCATGATAATGCATGGCATACTGGGAGACCACAATCTGAGGGCTGTTTGAATCTTCCATGTTTACTAAGTGTACTACAGACCTCACACAGGACTTGTGGCAATTCACACATGTATGCTACATAATCTGTGAATAATAAGTAGTTTAGTAGTTAAAGCGTTGGCTCATAAATTAATGTTGCATATGGGTACAATGTGTGAAGCCCATTTCTGGTGTCCCCCGCCGTGATAGTGCTGAAATATTGCTAAAAGCGACATTAAAGCCATACTCACTCACTTACTCACACTGTGAATAATAATTTCATGGTGAGCAAGCTCCATATACCTCATCTATGTGTAAGCGTTTATTTTATTAATTTACAAGTACTTTCAGTAAACTCTAAATACCAATTTGTTATGTCTTTTTGTTTCCTCAACCTTTAATGTGTAGAATGCATTACTTTATGAGAAATGATAATGCTCATTCATTTAAATCATTCCAAACATAAACATTTCCTCAAATGATAACAAATTTTTGTGGGATATTTTAGCATTATGAGTTGACTTGACAGTCAAAGGGAGATAACTCCTGTGCCAAAATGACTGCTATTTTACCTCCTAAAAGAGACACTGTTCACAAGGATTTTTACCCTGAAAACCATGGGTCCTGACACAATGGACAGGTCAAAGTCGGTTGTGGTCGTCATTTCTCGTATTGTCTTCATCTGCTGACAGTTCATACAATCCATCACTGGATCGGCAAACATAGGGTTATCAACAAGACATTCGGTCTCGTAGTACTCTGGAAGAAGAATGTGGAAGTTCAGACTTTCATGCAGATCTTTCATTTGACATGAACATATTTCAATTGAGGAATAGGATCAGGTCAGCGTGACCTGCCTCCTCAAATTTGTGTTCTTGTACACTCACATTTCAAAACACATCAGTAATTATGTATTCTACGATATCAATGACAAATAATGACTCACTGCATCTGTAAACGCAAAACTGATCTTGGCATGACTTACGAGATGCACAATGATATGATGCATGGGGTTACAGCACCAGCTAAATGAGTGAGTGAGTGAGTGCTTAGTTTTACGCTGCTCTCAGCAATATTCCAGCTGTATGGCCCGCCGTGATGTTGCTGGAATATTGCTAAAAGCGGCGTAAAGCCAAACTCAGTCAGTCCATCTGTATGGCAGAGGTCTGTAAATAATCGAGTCTGGACCAGACAATCCAGTGATCAACATCACGAGCATTGATCTACGCAATTGGGAACGGATGACATGTGTCAACCAAGTCAGCGAACCTGACCACCCTATCCCGTTAGTCGCCTCTTAGTCTTACGACAAGTATGGATTACTGAAGACCAATTCACACCCAGATCACGTGTAAGTGAGTGTGTGAGTGAAGATGTTCTTACACCGTTTTCAGCATCAAATATGTCAGATCAAAGAATGGGGAGTTTCATAATGACTCATGTACACATAAGTTCACCCAAATGTATCAAGCATGTAAGAATTCACTCTTTGATGTCCACACATGAAAACTGAAAGCACAGTTCGAACTCATTAGACCCGTGAAGATCCGCGGTCTTCTGCAACCCATGCTTGCCACAAAAGACGACTATGCTTGTCGTAAGAGGCGACTAACGGGATTGGGTGGTCTGGCTTGCTGGTTGGTTGACACATATACAAAGGAACTGTTTTCATACATCATAAATCTATATAAATGTTCAATCTGCAAACAAAATACACCTTTATGCATTCGTCTAGAATATCCCCTGAATGGACCCCCAAAACCCGCTACCAAAATTGTTTTGGCATCCTAATGGAATATAATATTATTCAATTTTCTACACTAATTAATAGACAAATGTTACACATTAAACAATGATTATAGTAGTGGGCGTGACAGAATATGTTTATGTTGACCCAGCCAAACGCAACGACCTGCCAGTGAGTCGCTGTGACGGTCCAGCGTACAAACATATTACTACGCCTTCCTCCTGCAGCAGAACGCCACATGGCCAGTTGGGTTACTTATAGACTAAGGCTTAGTCTCTGAATATATATAATTTTGATAGTAACAAACAAGCTCATTTATATTGAAAAGGAGCCCTAGGGAGACCAGAGATTCAGAACCTTAGGAAATCTAGACTTGCTTTATTTAGGGATTTAGCACTGCAGAGAGGGCTTGGCAGTAGTGAAATTAATGTGGTTCAGGGACTGTGAGACAGACTAGGTTACTTACTGTCAATGTGAAATACTTGCTGGAGCGGAACGCTCAAACTAAGACGAACAACCCTCATTATGTTGTAAGCGTATGGCTGAAGGAACCGAGAGGGGGAGATCGACTTGGCTTGATATGCCATCACCCCTGCTGTCACTGTCGTCGCGACCAGCAGCACCCCCACCAGTACAAAACACATGTTGAAGCAACATCGACATCGGGCCCATGTCTTTCGGGCTGCGAACTTTCTTGCTTGGACGTTACTAGCTTTCTTCTTAGGTGATTTCTTGGTGTTTACTTTCATCGACATGGCTCTCTGAACACATAATTCTATCTCCGCGTTGGTCAATCCCCATTCCTTCCCTAAATTACGAAGTTCTGACACATTTTGTCGGACATATGCGAGCGCTTCCTGGATTTCAGTCGCCATGTTGGACACGCACAACCTGTTTCCTGTTGTGTGCTTGACAACAATAAACCTGACACAGATATCTCCGTGGCCGCAGAGACTAGTTGTCTGTCATAATACCCCATTGCTGTTAGTCGCTAAATTATTAACCGTTTAATGAGTATCTGCGCTTGAAGTTTCAATATTAGTATTTATAAATAACAAAAGTTGAATTTTTGGTGGGGACACCGCGCTTTACAAGCGTTTCCATGGCTACATACTAAACCGTGACTCTGGAGTCTCCTTGTGTCAAGATTGCACTGGTTTAAATTCACCATATAAGTCCTGTAAATAACAACATATAAATGTAAAGCTCCTTTTGATTGATGTAAATCAAAAGTTCAACGCTGGATATAAAAAGTTAAAATAAAAAACAAATAAGATGGATGAGCCCGTCATAAATAACCACAACTGTCGAATAACGAAAATAATTTTTCACCATTACGTCATCTCTAGTGTGACGTCAATCCAGCATTATTCGTATGACGTCAACAATGTCGTCCTGGTGACGTAAACTAAAATCTATGTGTAATAAATAGATTTTTACACGAGCAACTATGTAATACGACTTATACGAAACGAGTGTGAAATTTTGTATAATTTTGCACGAGTTTCGTATAAATCATATGACACATTTGCTCGAGTGTAATAAATTTTTTATTATCCATTTCATTCGGGTAACAGCCGAATTGCCCCAGCTACAAAATGCCCCAGCATATTTGGTAAAAAAAATGCCCCAATTTATTTAAAATGATTAAATATATGCCAAAAATGTATAGTTTTTGTCAACTTTGATATTATATTCTTCATATAAATGCCAATATCCAGTCCGCGTCATCATACTTCTTCTCGGTCACTCTAGTTCTACATAGTCTGCGTGTCCAGCCTTCACATATATCACATGGGATTGCCTCTTGGTCTTCACATTCCCTGCTGTTGATGGTCATCTTAAATTGTCAGTTGGAAGATGTGAATGACTTACCCTTGGTCCAAGATCAATTTATACAAGGAGTTGAACTGCTCATACCTTCACACACTGCTGTAGTTGACATTTCCTCACTCAGTTGAGATACGATGATATGTGTCAAAAACGTCAGCGAGTCTCACCACCAGATCCCGTTAGTTGCCTCTAACGACAACCATGGGTTACTGAAGATCAATTCTAACCCGGATCTTCACGGGTCTTTTTGTGAAAGATAAATTAAGATGTTTTACTAATTCAAAATATAAAGTAGTTTTACAAAATTGTTGGAGGCACCGATTATCAAATACCTTTGGTCAGGTTGAAATAAAAGCCTTTGATGCTTAGTTTCGTCGACTCTCTTCAGGAAAAATAAGTAATGACAAGAAAAGTTCAAAGAATGTCTTTATTGTCAATTACTTCAATGGAAATGTTTGAGACAGTTGAAAACAAATGAGCGAACAGACATCAACACAGGAGGCGTGGTGATGTGTATATGGATGAAAACAGTGGGTGGATCTGTCTGTTGAGAGAAGACATTGACTGCCACCGATCAGAGGCCGACTGACTGGGAAGACCAACAGACCGAGGGGATCGAAAGATCAGGAGTCAAAAGTGTTGGGGATACTGTGAGAGAGTGATAGATTAGCGAGTCGACAGATTGGGAAGACACACAACCCGGGGAGAACAATAGATTAGGGACACCGAGATATCGGGAGCCAAAGAGGTTGGGGATACTGTGAGAGCGTGGTACACTTGGGAGTCGACAGATTTGGTGTGGGGTGGGGAAATATGACCAGGGAGTTCAAAGATCAGGAAGACCGCGAGATCGGGGGTCATAAAGGTTGTGAGAATTTGATAGTTAGGATGGACGACAGATTGGGGAGACCTGACAGATTATCAAGGAAGGATGTGTCCGAGAAATCCGACACTGGTTTCTTCGCCGTTTTCTTCTACATTAACTGTCCAAATCCCACTTGGGAAAGTCACTGAAACAAAGTTATTATATATCAGTAAATAACCTATTGAATGGGCGTCATTTTGTAAATATATCACTCTCTCCGACTTGTTAAATTATAATACACTTTTAAATCGTGCATGAGTATGGCCTGATAAAAATGTTCATCATATTAGCAGCTTAATGACGAAGCCCTTGTCTGATGAATTATTTTGTGGGTTAGTAACTTTCAGGCGTAGCTAGCCCGACTGGCTAGATAAATTTGGAAACTATTTCACACTGTTTTGAAGGTAAACCTCAGATAAGTGTTATTGTTTGTTCTTTGATGCCTCAAATTTCCAGCGATATGGCTGTCTGTAAATAATCAAGTCTGGACCAGACAATCCAGTGACAGGCATAATGAGCATCGATCTCCGGTATTGGGATACGATGACATGCATCAGCTAAATCAGTGACTTATCACACAATGTAATAAAAATATCCCCCAAAGTAACGCTCCCTAACATCCCCCAAAGTAACGCTCCCTAACATCCCCCAAAGTAACGCTCCCTAACATCCCCCAAAGTAACGCTCCCTAACATCCCCCCAAAGTAACGGTTCAGTATGTTCGAGGGTGTTTTGCACCGTTGTTAGACCAGAGGTGTGATGTCGACCACCGCGTGTATTCAACATACATATATCTCCCTCCTTCATGGTAATCTGGAACGTGTTGCAGATGTCGACACACCCCTCGGGAGAGTTGAACACCACCTTCCGCTTTCCTTGGCCCTGGGCATACCAGCTATACCCTCCCTGGGCACTGGGCGGCTGAAACAATAGACATATCCCCGTGTCATACATCCATCAGACCACACCGGTACGTGTGTTTGCTTGCTGTTAAACGCTACTTTATACAAAGTATATGACGGCGGTCTGCCAACCATGTGACTGACGTCATGAACATCAAACAACATGTGTGTCTCAACCGGACGTATCCTCAATCAATTTGATCATGGTACAGATCGGTACACAATGTCCTAATGAGTTTTGTCGTGGGGTTTACGATTACAGTCGATTACTCAGCTCTGATTGTCGATATAAATATTGTGAGTGATAACCAGCACTAGATACTAGGCGCTATATATATATCCATTATTATTATTATTATTTTTTTTGAACTCACTTCTTATGATTTTAGGGCCAGTGAAATTCATAATTACAGTAATAAAATAAATAACAAATAGCTTATATGACAAAATCATCATGCCCACCCTTTAATAAAAGGTCCCGAGTTCCATGTGAGTCTTAAAGTTAGGGATTGTTGTTACTTGGCAGTGTTGTTTGTGTCAAAACAATGTTGTAATTGTAATATATTGTTTTCAAGTTTTGCTTTAAGTTCATAACACTGTGTTTTAGTCAACAAAATTAGTTGTTGGAATGAATTACTGTCTATCCTTAACAGTGGTGTGGAAGTTAATATATTATGATGCTAAAGGTTAATCCAGAAGAACAGCTAGAGAACAATCCTGCAACAGAACCTTCTAGAGCTGACTGACTGACTGAGTTTTGTATTTACGCCGCTTTTAGCAATATTCCAGCAACATCACGGCTGGGGACACCAGAAATGGGCTTCACACATTATACCCATGTGGGGATTCGAACCCGGGTCGTAACCACTAGGCTACCCCACCGCCCCTCAAACTACACAGATGGCATACACTCATATACTAGAAACAAATCACCCAATCTTGTCAGTCGCCTTTTACGACAAGCAGGTGTTCTAAAGACCATCTTTAACAAAATCAGTGTATGAAATAAGCCGAGAATCCTGCCAGACATCAGCGCTGGTAACTTCAAAATGTTACCAGCCCAAAATGGATATAACTAGATCAAATATGGTGAATGTATGGTGAACTCAGAGGTATTGAACATCTTAAATTTTTACCAGACCATCGGGCTCGCTAGCTGTAAATTTAGACCGTCCGTCAGAAATCTAGACCGTCTCGGGCTGTCGGAGGGGCCTTATTTCATACACTGACAATATGTGTGGTGAAATATATTACCAATAACTGGTTTACCTGAACCATAAAGAGGTATATCCAAAGGGCCACTGAGAAATCCCGTAATATTCCAACATGACACATGTCATTATGATAAATTCATACAGTCTTATTGCACCGCGGGGTTTTGGAAACCAGGTGCCTATAACGACGTACATTGTCATATTACGGTTTCAATACCTTAGGTCCTTTGTGACTACAAGCGGCCTTTTGTGTGGTATTAGAATATGAAGCGTGATTTCACGGCGTTACAGAATACTTAACGAAACATCATATCTAAAGCTCCAAGTTTGCACTGTTAAGCGACACCGAAGTGAAGTGTTACCCACCAAAGTCCTTTGTTGACCCCCGTGTCCGTCTATGTAGATGTATTTCTGAAGGGCGATCTCTGTCTCGGGTGGTATGATGGACGGTCGGGGAAACATACGTCTCATCAGCTGGCCCAGAAACATCTTCTCCTTGCTGTTCCTGAAAAAACGTCGGTATAGCGTTTGAAGCGCCAGTAAAATCATAAGGTACGCACGTGAGCGTTTCCGAATCGTTAATACACTGGACAAAAATAGTTAGGGATATATGTAAATTTTGAAATTATGAATAATGATCTATTTACTCATTGACACACTGATAAAATATCAATCATAAACACATTGGCGGATCGAGAAGGGGGGTCAGGACCCACCCCCACCCCCCTTGAAAATGACTTAAGACCACATTGAAGAAATATTTTTTGCGTTGGCGAAGCCGGGGGGTGGTGGTGGTGGTGTGTGTGGGGTGGTGGTGGTTTGTGTTCAGGGGGTTCGAAACCCCTGACCCCCCCTTTCAAAATTCCTGGATCCGCCCATGTAAACATACCAATATCCCTAACTTATTTTGTCCAGTATATACAATGTGGTACTTCAAATACTACATGTTCCACACGTCAGTTCGCTTAGTGACATGACATTAGAAAGGTTTGAATAGTCTAGGCTGTCAACCAGTAGTTCCTTTGTTCCACAGTCTGATCGGTCAACCTTTCAGGTCGATTGTCACTGATTTCGATTTCCACAAATCAACAATATGCCTATTAACTGTCTATGAATACATGAACGGTACTATTATACAAAAAAAAACACCAAAATGTCTAAAGAGTCGTATTTTAACTTTGGAACCTATGATGAAGCTGAAAAATGAATGACCTTCATGATATACCAGTGTTTATATGTTATAGTTTGTTATACATTTCAGGGGGCGGTGGGGTAGGCAATAGTTAAATCATCCGCTTATCACGCTGAAGACCTGGGTTGGATTCCCCACATATGTACAATGTGTGAAGAGCCCGCGTGATATTGCTGGAATATTGCTAACAGAGGCGTAAACACATATTCACTCACTCACTATACGTTTTAGGCTCGAACACGCAGTAGTAGCCGGCACTACAGCGTCGGTTTCAAACAGACCCTTGCTGAACGACAATAACATTCAGAAACAGTAATCAATTTAACAACCCCCCCTGTATCAGGTACTGACGAATGATCAGCAGTGAGGTTCGTCTTCCAACGTCCACAGATTAGAAAACCTTTATCTAAACGTCAATCAGACCGATGTTGTACTGTTAATGTATGGAGCTTTAACACACCCTGCTAGGTGAATTAGTTTACTGATTCGGTTACCTGTTACACGTGTTCGATATTATTAATCAAGTTCAACCCAGACGGTTCGAGGATTCGGTTACAAAGGACCCCTCCATCACCTTATTTAGAGACTGACACAGGCTGACACTCAAGCTGCCTGAATTAATTGTGTGTTTGCATGTGTGTGTGCGCGCGCGTGTGTGTGGAGAGTTTAACACCCCCTCCAGTGGCTAGCCTCCGTGGCCAAACTGGCATTTGTTTCTATTATGGCATCTCGGTGTGTGTGTCTCGGAAGAGCAGATCCCCTAACCTTTGCACTTCATGATTTATGTGCACCCCTTCTCCAAAATCCTGGTACTTTTTCACAGGAAAATCCAAAATGTTAAAAAGAACCGAATTTTAATTGAAGTCTTTGGTCTTGATATGGATGATGCCAAACTGGCATCACTACGAGAATATACAGGCATAAACAGTCGTACCATACACAAGAGAAGTTCTTCTCAGCAGTGATCTGCTCCAGCAAATCATCCCGTGCCAGATCACTAGCCTTGGCAGCCCACCCTGCCGTGCAGTCGACCGGATGGTGCATCAGCTGATCCTTTTCTTTCCTAACAGCAGACTGTACATCCTCGAGAAGCACCGGAGCCTGCAGACCCTGTGTACAGAAGATAAAGAGATACATACTCCACAGGAGGATCCTGCTGGGATTCTGTCCGAACGTGGAACATCAATAATCGATGTTGTTATTCATGTAAAAACGACATTCCGTTATGCCGGAGTTTGCCTACACCCGACGAGCTCCTTTACAATATATACTGGACAAAAGTAGTTAGGGATATATGTAAATTTTGAAATTATGAATAATGATGAAATTTATTCATTGACATACTGATAAAATATCAATGATAAAAATACCAATATCCCTAACTTATTTTGTCCAGTATATTACCTGTAACCACAGATATCGCACTGGAATCACTTTTGGTAACGATCATAGTAACCTTAATACAAGCACATTTGTTATGTGCCCAGTGAACGAGCTAGGATGTAAGATTATATATATGATATATATGAAGAGAATAAGCCTTCATTTTTGTAGTAATAAGACAATCAGTTGTCCAAGATATGTCTCTCGGCTGAAACATGATCAGAAGTATATTATCTATACGTTCTGGGAACATGATTCAACACTAGGACAACCACAAACAAGCATGTTACAGGGTGTCATTGCAGAGTGTGACGCCATTGTTTTGAAGCTGAAGAACAATTTATCAGTTTCATCACTGATATGACTTATACCAGAGACCATATAATCTATTATATGGTCTCTGCTTATACACTGTCGGCAGGGAAGGTAAACCCAACTCACTCACTCACGCTGTGTTTACCGTATTGCCTCCAAAAGATTACCTCTTTCCCATACGCCAGGTTTCTAACACTAGCCGTTGACCTACTCCACAATGGGCGCTAAACTGATCGTAAGTCCCATACTTAAACATAGCATCACGCTGCTCGTAACGTCACGAAACCTCGGATTCTTATGTCTGTAATACAAGTCGCGTCTGTAATACAAGCGGGTTCTCTAAAACAAGGCGGGTTTAGTAGACCAATGACTGAAATATTTAGATAAAAATGGTTTTCCATCCTGCCTATGCCCAGTTATAGATATAGCCTCTAACTCAATAAAGACTTAGAAGCCTAATTTCACACACGTCGAATGAGTCGCCTGACGGCTAATGCGTGCACTCGTCACGCCCGGGTCACGGGTTCGATTCCTCAGAGACGCCGGATATCCGACAGAAGCATATATAAATGGTATATAATGTCCAATGTATTGACGCTGGGTGTCTGTAGGAAGAAATGCCCTTAATCAAAACGGCACAAGTCCCTGATGGACTATCTTATGTTATACACTGTTGAACACTATAGAAGCTAGGAAGTTATTCTCAATACGCACTCTGTGTACGAGAGGGTACGACAGCAGGTGGAGCTTCAGTGTCTTGATCTTGACCTTTAGTTCTTTGACACCCTTATTGTTCTTGCACGAGTCGCACTCAGGTTCCGGAAGAATGTACAGGGGGTTGTCCACGAGACATTCGCTGCTGTAGAAGTCTGTAAACAATAGGAACACAAGTAACAAACTACGAGGCGAAAATTAGCTCTGAAACGTCGTGTAAAGAATAAAAAAGAAGTGGTTATCCATAAAACGTGTCATATAAAAATAGAGCAGAATAATAAATAGAGAATACTACAGGAGGTCTCATTACATACGAGCGAAAGCTAGGTCAGATAACATTGGAAGGTCACGAGTTTCGTATAATTCGTATGTAATGAGACCGAGTGTGGTATTACCAACGTCTTACATGCATTAAATTGACAAAATAACGTATTTTTGTTATGTTTTTGGTTTCAAACCGAAACCGGTTTCATAAAGAGGTTGCGGTAGAGTTTTGTACTGTAGTACAATATTTGCATGACGTCACACTGTAATGACGTCACTGCCTTTGTAACCGACGTCACGATGCATGTCAGTTGTCATCGCCTCGTACAGACTCCGTAACACCTCGTTTCTTGGTTTCCATTTGCTTCATTCGGCTAACATCACTGGTGGAAACATTGCGTTTATGTTTTTTCGACGGATATAATGTCTTAGTTCGAGTCACAATTAAACAGCGACACGGCAACGTTCGCAATGTTTACATTCCCACAATGCATGTAAGTTGTAAAATGAATGAATTCACGTGTTTGTTATGAATGAACAAGTAGTTCCGTCACAACGTGACCTAACTGAGAGGTCATCGGTTATCCAATCAAATCGTTAGAATCTCAGGTCAAGTCGTTACGACACAGGTCAACGCGATACGACACTCGTGTCGTACTGTAATTTATAATAATAACTGTATTTATTACCCACGTGGTCAACGTATGGGTAGTTGCATACTAATCTCGTACGTCACACGAGTGTCGTATCGCGTTGACCTGTGTCGTAACGACTTGACCTGAGATTCTAACGAGTTGATTGGATAACCGATGACCCCTCAATTAGGTCACATTCTGACGTAACTATTTTTTCATTCATAACAAACACGTGAATTCATTCATTCTACAACTTAAATGCATTGTGGGAATGTAAACATTACGAACGTTGCCGTGTCGCTGTTTAATTGTGAGTCGAACTGAGACATTGTATCCGTCGAAAAACATAAACGCAATGTTTCCACCAGTGATGTTAGCCGAATAAAGCAGTTGCAAACCAAGAAACGGGGTGCTACGGAGTAGTTTACTGTAGGAGGCTGTACGAGAGATAATGACAACTGACATGCATCGTGACGTCGGTTACCAAGGGGGACAGACGAGAATGTCGTAGTGACGTCAATACAGTGTGACGTCATGCAAAAGTGTACTTCAGAACAAAATTCTTCCGCAAACTCTTTATGAAACCGGTTTCGGTTTGAAACCATAACAATAACAATGATACGCTATTTTGTCAATTCAAAGCATGTAAGACGTGGGTAATAAATAAAATACCACACTCGGTCTCATCACATACGAATTATACGAAACTCGTGACCTTCCTATGGTTTCTGATCTCGCTTTCGCTCGGTCAGATACCATAGGAAGGACACTCGTTTCGTATAATTCGTATGTAATGAGACCTCGTGTAGTATTCTCTATATACTCATTACTCAATGCAGATGGTTCTACAACTATTCTCAGCAGTATGGATATGCGTAAGACATACCCAGAGTAAAGATAAAGATTTCCTAGACTGAGATTTTGTACAATCGTCGAAAACTTAAAACTGAAATCTGTGTGCGAGTTGGGTCGAACTCTTTGGTTGGGGGTCTCTGAGGACGTCGAGTGAGGGTGGTTGTGGGGAGGACGGTGGGTGGTGGTGGCTGTAGAGAGGACGGTGGGTGGGTGTGGGAGGACGGTGGGTGGGGTGGTTGTGGCGAGGACGGTGGGTGATGTGGGGGAGGACGGTTGGTGGGGTGGTTGTGGCGAGGACGATGGGTGGGGGTGTCTGTGGCGAGGACGGTGGGTGGGGTGGTTGTAGGGAGAACGGTGGGTGGTGTAGCTGTGGCGAGGACGGTGGGCGGTGTGGGGAGGACGGTGGGTGGGGTCGGTTGTGGCGAGGACGGTGGTAGGTGTGGGGAGGACGGTTAATGGGGTGGTTGTAGGGAGGACGGTGGTTGTGGCGAGGACGGTGGGTGGTGTGGGGAGGACGGTGGATGGGGGTGTCTGTGGCGAGGACGGTGGGTGGGTTGGTTGTATGGAGGACGGTGGGTGGTGTGGTTGTGGCGAGGACGGTGGGTGGGGGTGGCTGGGGCGAGGACGGTGGGTGAGGTGGTTGTGGCGAGGACAGTGACAATGGGCAGAGATGGGCATGACAGCTTGCAAACCGCAGATTATTTGAGGTCAAATCGAACAGCTATAACAGATGTACTGGCTGTGTTTGACATCTGCCACATTCATATAACGATCAGCTCGAATTTATGAAACAATAGGGTTGTAATATTCTCACAACACTGGGAGTGAGTGAGTGAGTATGGTTTCACGCCGCTTTTAGCAATATTCCAGCAATGTTGACTGTCGGTAACAGTTACAAGGAAACGAACTCACTTATGAAGTAGCAGTAATTATTATCTAACAGGTGCTGACCCTCACCATCCTCCCACACGTCAGAATATTGTATTAGTTCACTTTGATGTTGGTGTACCACATTAGATACGACAGGTATAACAATACACGCAGGTACACGTGATCATCCAGGTTAGAATTAATCCATGCCAACCCATGCTTGACGTCAGAGGCGACTAACGGGATCGGGTGACTAGGTTGATATATGTCATCTTATCCTATTGAGTGTATCGATGTTCAGGATGTCAGTCACCGGATTGTATGGTCCAGATTCGACTATTTACAGACCGCCGCCATATGACTGAAATACTGACCAGTATAAAACAAGGCGTGCTTATAATATTAAAAACGCCTATTAAAGATATAGTGACACGATAGTTACACTAGCTATAACTGAAGTAAATGTATACCTCCATACAATGCTGTAACATATATTACGGAAATCTGCCTGTGCAGAGGGGCGTATGAATGAGTGAATATCAGCCATGTTCTAGCAAAATGACGTGTCCATGAGTGAGTAAGTGTCGGAAATGAATGTTCACAGCGGTCTGTAAATGATCGGAGTCTGGCAGAAATTCCTGGATTTGAACAACAGCGTCTGGGTACGGCGATACACCCAAATGACACCAGTATATTGTGTCGGTAGTTATTCCGTCGTGTACAACACTAAAACGCTCTGAGTACTAAGGTTTCGTACGAATCGGGACAGTCACACATTTAATGGGCAACACTATACCAGTTTTAGTAGTTCTCTTACTTCTACAACCACTGAAATCCTATAATAAAGCATTAACGGTACAATGGTAGTGGCGTTACGGTCGCTTTGTACAAATTGGTCCAGGTGCACACATTTAACGACGAGGTTCCCACATCACTTTAATTGTAGATGGGTACATCTACATCTTGCTCTGTGCGTATGGGAACAATCAACTTTAGAACAAGACGGATTCATACACCAAATACTACCTCTACATAGAAACATACTTCTGTGTCCAGAACTAAAGAGAATCTTACTTGAAAGGTCAGTCGCCCCATGGAAAGGAACTGACAACAGTCGAGCGTATTTTAAGACTGCAACCATGCCATGTGCTATTACATCCTGAGGAAGCAGTAGTCCCAGAAGACTGTGCCCAGTTGAGCTGACCGCCACGAACAGGACAGTGACCACCGAGATCAGACATAGTCGTCGAGCACTCAGGTTACACCACATCCATCGGGTGAAGACGGTTAACCCACACCTATCACTGGCAGCAACGTTTGGCCCGCCGAGAGACTGCTCCAAGCATTGATTTATTATGGAGGCTGAGGTGCCATTGGATTCTGCCGTCTTACAGACTGCTTCGACTTTGGACCTGAAGTGTTCAAGATTATACACATCCGGGGAAGCAGACATCGTGATGAGCAGACGACACTGATTCAAGATCGGAAACGCAGACTTACGCGCATAAACAGTGAAAATGTTTTGAAGAAAGACAACACTCAGTGGTGTGGGAATCAGTGAAAATTGATCACCCAGACAATAGCCAAATGGAATGAAGTTGTTCGGGCCCTTGTCAGTCATCCACGACTGCGTCTGATAGCATGGTTCAGCCTGGGGCCGGATATGTCTGCATCGTATGGAACACCGTGGTTGTATCAGCACGGGCCTGTCATGCACATTGAGTGTAGGTGTCAGAAAGGTAATGGGTTCTATATGTACTCCATCAGCCGTCATCTGTCCTTTGTGCTACGTGACAGTCTCCACGGTGTCTCCCGCCAGCTGTTGCACCTCACTATTACGCGTTTGTCACTTTGGGTACTCTGCTATGGATGAGCCGGACATCAACTGGTATGCAGATCTCTCTACGGGAAATAATCAGCAACAGACATGGTGGACATGTTCTTGCTCTATAATGCCAAATACTACCATAGACGTTTTGTAAATAGCTGCTTGATACTCACCTCCGTAATGTCACAGAATATATAAAGAGGCATTTCATTTTTACCCATACATGCAAAACATGCAGCTATTACATAATCTTAAAACACTAAAGGGAGACAGTTGTTGGCGGCACTGAACGACGTGTCAGTGGCATCAGTTAGAAGGACTGACTGACTGACTGAGTTTGGTTCCACACCGCTTTTAGCAATATTCCAGCAATGTTGACTGTCGGTAACAGTTACAAGGAAACGAACTTACTCATGAAGTAGCAGTAATTATTATCTAACAGGTGCTGACCCTCACCGTCCTCCCACACGTCAGAATATTGTACTAGTTCACTTTGATGTTGGTGTACCACATTAGATACGACAGGTATAACAATACACGCAGGTACACGTGATCATCCTGGTTAGAATTGATCCATGCCAACCCATGCTTGACATCAGATGCGACTAACGGGATCGGGTGACTAGGTTGCTGTATGTCATCTGATCCTTATTGGGTGTATCGATGTTCAGGATGTCAGTCACCGGATTGTATGGTCCAGATTCGACTATTTACACACCGCCGCCATATGACTGAAATACTGACCAGTATAAAACAAGGCGTGCTTATAATATTAAAAAACGCCTATTAAAGATATAGTAACACGATAGTTACACTAGCTATGACTGAAGTAAATGTATACCTCCATACAATGCTGTAACATATATTACGGAAATCTGCCTGTGCAGAGGGGCGTATGAATGAGTGAATATCAGCCATGTTCTAGCAAAATGACGTGTCCATGAGTGAGTAAGTGTCGGAAATGAATGTTCACAGCGGTCTGTAAATGATCGGAGTCTGGCAGAAATTCCTGGATTTGAACAACAGCGTCTGGGTACGGCGATACACCCAAATGACACCAGTATATTGTGTCTGTAGTTATTCCGTCGTGTATAACACCAAAACGCTCGGAGTACTAAGGTTTCGTACGAATCGGGACAGTCACACATTTAGTGGGCAACCCTATACCAGTTTTAGGAGTTTTCTTACTTCTACAACCACTAAAATCCTATAATAAAGCATTAACGGTACAATGGTAGTGGCGTTACGGTCGCTTTGTACAAATGGGTCCAGGTGCACATATTTAACGACGAGGTTTCCACATTACTTTAATTGCAGCTGGGTACATCTACATCTTGCTCTGTACGTATGGGAACAATCAACTTTAGAATAAGGCGGATTCATACATCAAATACTACATCTACATAGAAACATACTTCTGTGTCCAGAACTAAAGATAATCTTACTTGAAAGGTCAGTCGCCCCATGGAAAGGAACTGACAACAGTCGAGCGTATTTTAAGACTGCAACCATGCCATGTGCTATTACATCCTGAGGAAGCAGTAGTCCCAGAAGACTGTGCCCAGTTGAGCTGACCGCCACGAACAGGACAGTGACCACCGAGATCAGACATAGTCGTCGAGCACTCAGGTTACACCACATCCATCGGGTGAAGACGCTTAACCCACACCTATCGTTGGCAGCAACGTTTGGCCCGCCGAGAGACTGGTCCAGGCATTGATTTATTGTGGAGGCTGAGGTGCCATTGGATTCTGCCGTCTTACAGACTGCTTCGACTTTGGACCTGAAGTGTTCAAGATTATACACATCCGGGGCAGCAGACATCGTGATGAGCAGACGACACTGATTCAAGATCGGAAACGCAGACTTACGCGCATAAACAGTGAAAATGTTTTGAAGAAAGACAACACACAGTGGTGTGGGAATCAGTGAAAATTGATCACCCAGACAATAGCCAAATGGAATGGAGTTGTTCGGGCCCTTGTCAGTCATCCACGACTGCATCTGATAGCATGGTTCAGCCTGGGGCCGGATATGTCTGCATCGTATGGAACACCGTGGTTGTATCAGCACGGGCCTGTCATGCACATTGAGTGTAGGTGTCAGAAAGGTAATGGGTTCTATATGTACTCCATCAGCCGTCATCTGTCCTTTGTGCTACGTGACAGTCTCCACGGTGTCTCCCGCCAGCTGTTGCACCTCACTATTACGCGTTTGTCACTTTGGGTACTGTGCTATGGATGAGCCGGACATCAACTGGTATGCAGATCTCTCTACGGGACATAATCAGCAAAAGACATGGTGGCCATGTTCTTGCTCTATAATGCCAAATACTACCGTAGACGTTTTGTAAAGAGCTGCTTGATACTCACCTCCGTAATGTCACAGTATATATAAAGAGGCATTTCATTTTTACCCATACATGCAAAACATGCAGCTATTACATAATCTTAAAACACTAAAGGGAGGCAATTGTTGGCGGCACTGAACGACGTGTCAGTGTCATCAGTTAGAAGGAAGCAACATGCCTACCAACGTTGTACATATGTACGACACATGCATTGTCGCGACAAATTGGAAACCCGTTCGTCAATAACTTGACCATTCGTTGGGCTGACCATATCAGTGGCAAGATCCGATGACCGTGTGTTTGAATCCCAATCTACGTTTGTCAGCACTATGCTCACGCTAGAGAGTTTCATCAATGTGGTTGACCTTTCAGACCACTTCCGGCTTTCTTCTAACAATAGAAGTTGTTTTCCGCATAGTGTTTGAACCACTGACGTTCAATCCAGTATCGTGGGGTGTCACAAAACCGTGACTAAACAGGCTAAACATTATGTCACAGAAATTAAGTTCACTTATTAACCTACAAAATGAAAAGTAAGCCCCAAACGGTTCCAATGCTGAATTATCTACAGCTGTGACAATCTAGATTTGAAAAATCATTCTAGATATAAGTCGGATTCAACATAACTGTTTATCTGGGGTCTGGCAGATTGTTCAACGGTAGGGGACAAACTATCCTTAACGGGGGACTTACTTGGCACACTGGAAGTTTGAATCAAGTCGTTCAAACATAACTGTGTATTAGTTTCTGTCGTAGAATTTATGACATATGTTGTATCACCTAAATGGTTATCCTGGCGACAGTTAATTTCTCTTGGTGCTAATGACAAGGTGTGGTATTTGATGGCATGATCAACAGAATGACCCCCTTTATTACGCGATGGTCAGAACGACTTACCTTCCATCTTCATCAAACGGTGAAACGGCACGGCCAAGAGTCGGGTGTAAAAACTGAAGGAATATTCGATATCTCTCATACACTCGCCTGTGGGAAAAACACACGTGAGTTAACACACACATATCACTATACACTAATCAAAGTACGTAACAGCATACATTAAGTAGTGTTGGGAATTGGTTAAAATCGAATAATTGATGATTGGTCCATTCCAACCGATCAATTATCGAAAATAATTGGTTAGCGTCATTTATTAAATGTCCCTGTTATTTTTGTTAATGCACACACAAAAAATAAAGAAAAAACCTGTAGTAATTTGTTTGTTTTTTGCAAATTTAAATTATGATTAGTATGTTAGGATCACATATTTCCTGGATTCTTTAAGATAAATTCAGTCATGACTTGGAACGAGCTTGTAGTGCTTATGAAATGTAAATTTAATGACACAGACAAAACCAGCCTTGTGAAAAATATTGTTAATGCAAACAAGTGTTCCAAGATTGGTCGTGTTCGATTACGAGAAAACATGTTCGATTGCTTGGTCGTTGAGTCACTGCGACCAATCTTCGATTATCTCAATTAATCGGACCACCACTAACATTAAGTATAATATTTGTCTACGTGTCTACTGTCGTATTTAAATCTCTCCGCAGTGACACATCATTCGTATTAATACTTTATGATTTAAGTGAATTAGAGTTGAATTAATAAGATTAGGGATTCGTCGTTCTCGAGGACAGTACTGAAAGTATATGGTGGTGGTATTACGACATCAAAGAGTGAGTGAGTATGGTTTTACGCCGCATTTTAGCAATATTCCAGCAATATCACGACGGGGGACACCAGAAATAGACTTCACACATTGTACACATGTGGGGATCGGACCCGGGTCGTCAGCGTGACGAGCGAACGCTTTAACCACTAGGCTACCCCACCGCCCCCGACATCAAAGAACGAGAGATAGTAGTTATCGAAAGAATAACATCTTGAAAAATGTGTTATGAATAATATTAACGTAATATCAATGTGTTACAGGAGTGTAAATACCCTCGTCTAGTAGGATAGGACATATTCTGCTTATAATTATACTGCTTATACTATCACCCTACTTAAATGTTGTAGTATACGATAAGATTGGTTTACCATTCATACTGGTTGGAAACCCACGTGATCTAAGTTGTATGTTTAAATATTGAAGTATAAATACAAACACCTACCAATATATGAACCCTGCCCCGCCGCGGCGACACCCATATAGCCGAAAAACACCACACACAAGACGACGATAACAACTTGTGTTCTAGTGCTCGTCTTTCGCTGCAGTTGTTTGAACCATATTGCCAGATTCTCCCAGGAAATATCTTGGAGACAGATTTGAGAGTAATGGCCTGGAATGGGAGCACACATAGCCTTGCTCGCGCATCGCTCGATTGTTTCTTCACTGAAACCCCAATCTGAACCCAAACGTCGGATGTCGTGGACATTTTCTCGGAGAAACAAGAGCCGGTCAGCAGAGCTTGTATCCATGTTGCTCGTCCCAAGTCGAATGATGATCATCAGACGTACTGGTGAAGCAACACCTGCTCTGATGGCTACAACGGCTGTGCTTCACACCCGTGTCGTGACAGATTATCCCTTATCAAGGTGTGTGTGCATGCGTGCGCGCGTGTGCGCGTGTGAGTAAGAGCGCTTCCGTGGTGCGGCCCTGGGGGTAAGTTTCATGTTTTCAGAAACGTTCAATAAATGTGCTTGAATCATCCCTGCATCAGTTTGTAAAAGGCGATGTTTGGCTGGGCATTGTTGTGTAAGGAAACCTGGGGATGGATCTAAATTTGCAAACTTTTCCACTTTAAGCGCTTGTCTTGATGCAGTGTGAAATGGCAGTCATGGGCTTTCCGCCATAGGCTACAGTCTAACCCTAAGGTTAAAACACTGAAACACTTGTATCCACAGGACGTACATGTATACGTGTACATTTCAGGAACGGTTCCGTAGCCTAGTGGTTAAAACTTTCGATCATCATACGGAAGACCGAAGTTCTATTCCTATATGGGTAGTGTTACTAAGTTTGAATCCCTTTTTCTCCGGAATCACAATAACTTTTTTACGGATGAAACACGTGTACACGAATCACTACCCCATTTTATAAATTTAGCCAAGAGATGATACCAAGAATGGGTTTTACCTATGGGGGTCGAACCCGGGTCTGTGGCGAGCAAATCGTCACTGATACATCGTATATGGTCTTAAGAATAGAGCTGGCCTATGAGGGACGCTTAGTCTCTGAATATATATACATGTAATTTTGATAGTAACAAACAAACCCATTTAAATTGAAAAGGAGCCCCAGGGAGACCACATGCAGATTCATTGAAATTGAGGAAATCTAGACTTGCTTCATTTAGGGCTTTAGCATTGTAGATAGGGCTTGGCAGTAGGGAAAATAATGTGGTTCAGGGACTGTGAGACAGACTACCTTCCGTTCAGCCCTTTCAGCAATGCTAAATCCCTAAATGAAGCAAGTCTAGATTTCCTCAGGTGTTCAATCTCTCATCTCACTTGGGCTCCTTATCAATTTAAAGGGAAATATTTGTTTCCATAAAAATTATACATATTCATAGACGAAGTGTTAGTCAAGAACGGGACCCTGTACAGGCAGCTCAACACACACACACACGTGCACGCACGTCGCCATGTAAGTGTTGTATTCTTGAAGGCGAAGTTCAACATATTCCGCTTCAAATTATTAAAAACAGGTTTCGGGGTTTTATTCCAGCAATTCGAAACACATTTTGTTACCCTGACAGCCGAATGTTCACGGTGTATGTCAGTAAAGTAGTTAATGACAACGTAATTACTCAAAGGCAGGGGCTCGGTTTCCGCGTACCGCTCATTACATTGTCTTGACCTGTAGTTCATACAAGATGTCTCTAATGGAGATCGCACTGGTCATCGTAGAGTTAACATGTGTCCATGGAGATAGGGAATCTGTGAGCACATATGTATAATTCTGTTGCTTGGGTTGCCGATGCCAAGTTGAAGTTAAATACAATATCTGTACATAATTACAGAAGATATATTTGAAAATATATGCAGGCGTCGATGACGAAAGGAAACGCACATTCTTTTAATTAGTCCTGCATTACTGAAGAATCCATGCACCCAGTCTATACATGATAAGACCAGACAAGTCTTTGCAGTATAGAGTATTTCAAACCGAGAAAACTGATGTGTTATAAAATACTTCACAGAAGAATATAAGAGTCTAAAGGACCGTGATGATGATTTTTATTTTATGGAGACACATGTACAATGTGAATGACCCTCCTAAAATGTATGTATAAAGTGACAAACACGCAAACCCACCCCACCCCCACCCCCAACTTTTAAGCATAATTTTAATATTTTTATGTACAAAATTGTTGACCCCCTATCTTCCAAGAACAAATTTGGGACCCCCCTTAAAATCATCATCACCCCTCTTAACCATAATTACATTATGAACGGTCCCTAAGTTTCCCCAGGTGAAATAAACTTTATACTTTGGTCCAGGGAGGTAGACTGGTTAACCAGGGTTTAACCCTACATGTTTTTCTTCCGGCCTTCAATTCTTAATCAATTAATTGTATAAAACACAACAAACGTTAAATGCGTGGGTATTTTAAAATAATAAAATCAAGTGTCTGAACAACAAATGTTGATTCACTGCTCTTCTTTTCTTCGATGAACTGCCATTCATCCTGTCAGGAATCGTGAGAAGTTCCCTCTCTATAGCGCTGAGAGCCAGACACTGCAAGTGAATAATAGGCGATAAAGTGCTATTTGACATAGAACGACAAAGACGCACATATGTAAGCATCTGCGTGAAGATAAACAATAATACAAGTAATTCATTGATATGTATTTGCATCGATTTCAGGAATACAACCAAGTAATAGAATGTCTAACACGTGAATATTATCAGTTAACAGTACGCTGGTAGTAATAAACAAACATGGCGGCCGTATGATGAAAAGACGATCGCTCAATGAACAGAATGAAATAGACGAAGCACATGGCAGTCGGATGAAGGTAAGAACGTGACCTCTAGTGCGCATGTTATTATTGCAACAATTAAAACCACCAGACTCATTTATGGCGGTGTTCCTGGAGTAAGGGATGAGATTAAGTGGAGAATATTTAGAAACACACGGAAAGGGGACGGGATGGGTTTCTCCGCGGAGCTCGCCTTACGCTGTCAATTTTTACACACTGCAGGGCAAAGTTTCAGGTTATGAATTTGACAGATTAAGTAACTTATTGTGCTTTAATATCTTAACAGAATTAAATGTAAGTGTCAAGGTGTCATGGCATGGCCAGCCCTGAATGCTAGGTCATCCGATTTCGCATTGCCCGTCAGCTAACGGAGCCAGCGGGCGAAGCAGCGCTCTCCAATTATCGTCGACCGCCCGATAAACGGAACACGATCCCTCTCTCAGCGCTGTCGGCGTTCAGCAGCTCGCGCTGAGCAGGGAGTGTGCACAGCCGTGACCCACACAAATCTGCACATTCCCGTGAAAACTGGGGCAGTGGAAAGGATACGGCATGTTATTTATTGTGGTTATAATATGTATTTCGTTGCGTGTGAAGATTTGATGTTTTACCATTCCCATAGAAAGGCATCAGCCCTTCCCGGAAGTTGATTGATTGAATACCAGGAATATTACATCCTAAGGCTATTTATAGAATTTGGCGTCCATGCTTCTTATCTTGCGACTAGAGCTGAGCAAGATCCTGACAGTGTTGAGAAATTGTTTACCAAAACTGTGTAGTTTAAGCTGGTGTAATGCAATTCTCAGGGCTTTCACTTCAAGCAAATATTTTGCTGATGAAGTTCACAGTTTTCTCTTAATTAGTATTAAATACCGTTCATTATCGTTGAAACTGATATTTTTATTAACCTTTTGATACCTGCTGAATGGAATTTTTGTGATATATTCAAGGTCATGGTTGTGGGAGCTCGTGTTTTCAGTGCTATGATTATATGACATTTTGTGGAGAGTTTTTCTGTCTTGTTCGCTAGCTGTAAACTGTAAACAGTGAACCCATCTCACTTTAAAGGAAAAGAAATCTGTTAGTCGTCCATCCTGCGCCATTTTGATTAGCCCGCGTAATAACTGGATGCGATTTAGAACCAGCTAGCTAACAAAATGAGTTTCAGACCAACAGAGTGCCTCGTGTGAAAACCTGGAGAGTCCCCTTGAATTTTCATATTTGAATTTTTCTTACCAAAACCTCTCCTTGCAAATGCGTATAGGTTTGTGAATGTGTATGTTAATTATGTAAACTTTCATCAAAGGATTGACCGATAATACATTGACTGATTAATCACTGTTATCTTGCATTTTGTTACCAGTAATAAACATGTTTCATTGGGTAACGATTAAATTATTCCACATGTACAAATTATCAAACGATATCAATCAGTTATTCTAATGTGATGTTATGTTTTTTAGATATGTAACATAAAATCAAAATTGGGATATATTTTTTCTGATAAAATAATGTTTTCATTCGATCAGTGCACCAAAAGTCTTTTTGTAGAATAATGGGTAGTTTTAACCGAAACACTGGTAGAATGTGAAAAATGTTAATTCAGCTGATTGCTAGTTTCTGGCTTAGTTTCTGGAGGAATACAGACAGTTTGTTATTTATCTGCGAATAAAACGTGTCCAATGATAATTTATCAGATATTTCACATTTTTTTCACCTGTTCGTTTACCTGAAGTCTCTGAAGCGTGCTCTGAAGATTTTTACTATGTAGATAAATGATGCTCACTGCTAGCTTCATGTCCTGTATACATTAATCAACAACAAAACCATATGTCAGTTTGGCTGTAACTATATTGCATATCCTTTCTTATGACAGGCAACTTCTCATTCTTTGATCCTCCGATGGGTGTCGCTTCTTGCAAGCACAGCAAAAATAGCGTTTGAGTACAAGTAAAACCTGGCGATATGATAGTCCATATTAAGCAAATTGTATTCTGTGAAGAAACCATGAATCATTATTTGTGTCCCTTTAAGACGTTTCAAAGTAAAAGAAACCTGTGGTGCGAGTTATACTGTTGTGAGAATATTTCGTTGTTTGCTTGTTAATGATTGCGCCCAAAATCGTAAATATATTTCATGGATTTCATATCAGTATTCGGTATACACGTGATGTCAATCGGTCGATTGTCAGGTCCAGATTTGATGTTTACAGGCTACCATCAAATACCAGGAATATTGCCGAGTTTGTTGTTCAAGAAATATTCCCCAAACCCCCCAACCCTCAAACAAATATGTAGCCCTGACTAAGGCATGATTTTCTCGAGAATGGAATTGAGTTGTCAACCATGTAGAATTGCATCTTGACTCTAACCAAGTCCAAAGGTCCTAATATTCCTATAATGATTACCAGCATCGTACTGCCTATACAGTACTCGAACAGTACTGCAACAGCAGTTGAGATTGATTACCACAGCTCATTTGATTGTTAACAATTAAACTCCGTGTTCATGAATAGCGTCAGACCCTCGGACAAATCTGGTAGATTTGCCGGCTGTCCGATGGAAGTCTACAACGCCGGCCCCAGTGTCCGCTGTATATTTCACAATGACTTTGACTGAAGTTGTTATATGTGACATGTCACACTTGTTTGCTGTTTATAAATTTTACGTTTGTTAATGAATTTGTGAACTTTTGGTGTCAAAAAGCAAGAATGTCGCGCGATACGTGACATCAAATTTCATGCAAAGGGCTTTGCTACATGATTATTTAGGGTTATTTTTATAACTTAAATAAGTTTAATTTTATGCAGTATTATGTTATGCGCAGTTAGTTTTTTCGGTTAGTAAAGTCAGACTCGTATATCCGAACTTCAGATATCCGAATACCTCGATTTCCGAACATTCTTCAGAAAAAACGAAATTTTCTAGTTACAATTTACCTCGTATATCCTAATGTTCGGTTTCTGTATCCGAACGGTCAATTTTGGTAACGAAACAGCAAAATATGTACAAATTTGCCTCGTATATCCGAACATCAAGGCTGTCGTCGGCAAGATGTCCGATGTTTACCACTCCTCAACAGTGCTCACTGAATTGACCTTTGATCAATCCTATATCAAAACCCAAGGTCTGTTGTTGGCGAGGTATCAAAGCACGAAGTCTATCATGTCTACCGCTTGTCAAAACATTGTGCTGGCTGCTAGTTAATTCATTGTTTATTGAATATTTATCACAGGGCGTATAGGTTAATTAGAGAAGTGTCATAGTATGTTATTGAAACAAGGATTACTCCATTCTCAATTAATGCTCCCGTATCAGGCATGCGCAGAGCCGATGGAACTGGCTAGCAGACGCCGCGAGGAACCGCGCCAGACGAACTTGTATGACATGTTGTTGAGTTACCGAATCAGTAATAAATCCCCACTATGAAGATCAAGAGTTCCCTTATTCTATGACATGGTGTCAGAAGTAAAGTACTGAAGACGTAATAAAGAAGATGGCACGATTTTCGTCTCCAGCAAACTTTGATTTCTCCACACCGGCCGAGTGGCTCCAATAGGGCAACGGTTCATGAGATATCGTTCCGCGACGAAACTGGATAAACTGTCAGAAGAAGTTCAGATAAGTTCACTCATTTACGCAATGGGAAAGGAAGGGGAACACATTATGAACTCTTTTACATTTGACGAAGGTGATGAGGGGAAATTTGACAAAGTGATTCAGAAATATGATAAACATTTTGTTCCAAAACGGAATGTGATTCACGAGAAAGCCAAGTTTCAACAACGCAATCAACGATCGGTTGAAAGTGTGGAAGCGTTTATACGCTCGTTGTATGAACTTGCAGAGTACTGTGAATTTGGGAATATGCGTGATGAAAGTATTCGTGACAGGATTGTCATTGGAATTTCTGACAGACAAGTTTCAGAACGGATGCAATCAATTCCTGGATTAATATTGGATCAGACAGCAAGGGAAACTAGTCAAGTCTCAAATCAAGAATCAAGACAATATTCAGACTTTAGAAGAGGTAAGGAGTAGAAATTCAAGAAATATGACCCTTTATGCCCATAGAGGTAGAAGATTTGGTCTCTCGCGAGGTTTTCACCATGGAAGTAATGGTAACCATGGAAACCAAAGGAATCAACAATCATACAGTCAGAATAAGCCCAGTTCATGTTGTGGTAATCTTCATTCAGGAAGGTGTCGCGTTAGTGGTCAGACATGTCACGGATGTAACAAGAAAGGACATTATGCCAAGATGTGTACAAGCAATAGAAAACAAAATGTTCACAGTGTAGAGACATGTTTTGTCCGATGATGAGGGAAGTGGATTCTATATTGGATCTGTCAGCTGTGAAGATGATAATGATGCATGGATGGTTACATTGTATGTTCAAGACACACCTGTTGAATTCAAAGTTGACACCGGTGCAGACTCAACAGTGATTTCAGGAAAAACTTATGACAAACTTTTCAAGAAAACAAAGTTATTACCACCAGATCGTGAACTTTCAGGACATTCACACCTAATAGGGTGTGCAGGATTGTTCTTGCACAGGTGAGATATCATGGTGAATTATACAAGTTCAACGTTTATGTCACAGACGGACATAACAATCTGCTGAGTAGGAATGTTTCACACAAGATGGGTTTGGTGAAGCCGAACTTTCATGAAATCAGCACAGATATAGACAAAGTACACTCAAGTATATTGACGTTGAACATGACAAAAGACTTAACGGCACAATTGACGCCATCCAGAAAGCGGGACTTAGCTGAACAAAGACAAGTGCAAGTTCCGGAAATCAGAAATTGTATATTTCGGACACAGAATAAGCAAAGATGGATGCCATTCTTGAATTAGAATCTCCGAAGGATATTTTGGAACTTAGACGCATCTTGGGACTGGTGAACTATTTGGGGAAATTCCTACCGGATATTTCCACAGTCACGAAACCAATGACTGATCTACTCCATGCCGATACTATGTGGTATTGGGGCCCAGATCAAGAGTCTGCTTTCTCCAAAGTGAAAGCC